CAAGCTGGTGTTTGTCAAGATGCCGGAGCGGGACGTGGTTTCCTGGACAGTGGTGCTCTCGCACAGCCAAGCTCTGGACGAGGCCAAGCAGCTCTTCGACTCCATGCCGGAGCGCTCGGTGGTGCCGTGGACGGCGATGGTGGTCGCGGCGGCCCGGGCCGGAGAGATGGAAGACGCGGACGAGGTGTTTGCCAAGAGCCCCCAGCTGGACGAAATCGCGTGGAGCGCGATGATCTCGGGGTGCTCGCTCAACGGGCAGGCAGTCCGAGCTGTGGAGCTGTTCAAGGCGATGGATCTCGAGGGGCTGAGGATCGACGCGGTGGCGCTGGTGAGCGTGATCGACGCGTGCTCCATCGTCGCGTCCGTGGCGGCCGAGAGCGCTCACGCGATCATCCGCGAGCTCGAGCTCGAGGTGGAACCCGAGGTGTCACAAAGTAACGGCTTTCTGGGAACCGAGATGGAAGCCGATGTTGTGGTGGCCGAGAAGAGCGTGGCGGTCGGGAACGCGCTCATCAATCTCTACGGCAAGACCGGGCAGCCGGGACGATCCAAGGCGGTGTTCGATCGCATGGTGGCGACGAGGAACAGGCTCTCGTGGACGGGGCTCCTCTCGGCGCACGCTCACAGCGGCCTGGCGCTCGAGTGCCTGGAGCTCTCCCGCGACATGAAGCTCGAGGGCGTGGCACCCGACGGCGTGGCGCTTATGAGCGTGCTGAGCGCTTGCAGCCACGCCGGGATGGGCGGCGCCGCGGCGGAGGAGCTGGACGTGGCGGCACACGAGTACGGGGTGGCGGTGGCGGCGGAGCACCTGGTGTGCGTGGCGGACGCGCTGGGGCGGGCGGGCGAGGTGGCGGAGGCGTGCGCGGTGCTGGAGAGGTTTGGGGCCGGGGTGGTGGCGTGGATGAGCTTGCTGGCGGCGTGTGGGCGGGTCGGGGAGGAGGCGGTGGGGAGGCGGGCGGCGGACAGAGTGGTGGAGATGGATCCCGAGAATGCTGCCTCCGCAATTGCTATGTGCTTCTGGAACGAAGGAAGTCCCCGCCAGAGATGTAAGAAAGATGAGGAACTCCAGTGTTGGCAATGAAGAAAGAGCTTCTCCAGGCGGCGCTCTGGGAGAGCCCTTTCGCCGCTGGAGGGGAGATCGATGTGGGGCGCCATGCGCTCTGGCAGTGGAAGGCATCGCAGGTGGCGCCATCCAGCTCCCACTCTCACGCGAGAATCTTGCCAAGCTCAGGGCGGTATTGGCGCTGGAGAGCATACGCTCCTTCCATCCCACATTTCCTTCCCCGACTGTCCCGAGTTCCTCGCCAGGACCGTAGCTGCCGCCGCGCTCTCAAGCATGGGAATGGACGCGCATCGGGCGTGCCCCTCTACGAGATGGTGCTATACGAGCAAGGTGGGCATTCCAAGCTTCACAGCGACGCGGAGAAGGAAAGTGGGTCGTTTGCGACCATGGTCATCCAGCTCCCCACCCAGACGGGCCATGGCGGTAGCACTTGCGCTGCTCCAAGGCTTTCGACTTCCAATCCAGTAGCGGCTACTTCTACACCACCTTCTTCTGCGACTGCAAGCACAATCTTGACAAGGCTGTGCCTGGTGTTTAGCTTGGTGAGGAAGAACACCAGCTTCTTGGGCGTGGATGACGCCTTCTTCACATCGGCACTGCCGCACGTCCAGTCATTGATGCAAGAAGGGGCTAACTGCAGCGAGGGCCTTAGGCAAAGATGGTGATCCCGCTCTGCCACAAGTACTCGAGCAAGAGCTTGCGCTTTGCTGGGCTCAAGGTGTGGTGGCTGATCTTCGTGATTTCCTGAAGCTTCATCTCTGCATGCTCACCAAGTTTGAAAGATCTAAGTCATGATTGATTGGCTTATACTTTTGATAGTGCATAATTTCCATAATTTCCTTGGTATGGTTGGAGGTTTTTAATGATCAAAATATATTAATATTCATGGTTGGAATGAGGTGTCAAGTGGTATTTTAATGGTTAAAGTAGTATTATGTCTTTGCTTATGTATTGAAGAATTTTTTGTGGTTGAAACAGATGTGAGTGAAGTGATTTTATTATTGGGGCTAAATTGGGCATCTTTTTGCATATATGAGCCATAAATTTGATTCCACACAATGAAATTGCCCCACTCAAGACAAAGAGTTATATGTTATAATTACTATTGTGAAGGAATAATGATAATATTTATATAGACCAAACTTCTATGTGGATTCAAACTATCAATCTCTTTAATATTTTAATTGTCAAAAGGATTCTTAAGGCTACTTTACTTGTTAGCAAGAGTTCTTACAAAAAATATTTATTAAGATCCAGTACAAATATAGAGGTGACAATAAAGTGGCTAATGCATTATTTAGGATAATAAATTTTATCTTATTTGAAGCTATCCAATGATCTATTAGATAAGCTTAAGGAGTTGAATGACTTTGACTCCTTTATTTATCATTGATATTTGCATCAAAGTTCTATCAAAGGATGCCTCTATAGATTAAAATTTACATCATTTGAGATACAAAATAAAATCTTGGTGAAGAAGAGAAATGTGTTGGTTTTATGTGTTGACAAACTTATCAAATGAATTTTGGTTGAATGTCATGATGTGTTAAGTGCTAGACATTTAGGAATACTAAGAACATATATATTTGTGAAGAGGCATTTCTTTTAGCCTAGAATAAAGTAGTATATACATGGTTATTTGACCTACTAAGTAGTCATTAGAAGCTTGTTAGCTTCATTTTTTATGTGTACTTGAGAATAAGTGGGATAATATCTTAATAGACTTTATCACTAATTTTCTTAAGACTTTTCAAGGAAATGGGATTGTTTGATGAAAATGGTTTGCTTCTTTCTAGTAAAGATGACAATTATTTAGTCTTTATAGTTTACTAGATGACATTATAAGTGATCAAGATCCCAAATTTATATTGAATTTTTGGCAAATGGTTTCTAAGAAATTAGAGACTAAGCTAAATATCAATAGTGGTGAGCGTCAACAATTCAATGGGCAAACATAACACATAAATTAGCTTTTAGTGTTGAGGTCTTTTATGGAAAACTTGATTTGATGAGGAGTATAGGAGAAATATTTAGCTTTGCTCTAATGTAATGCTTAATAATTAGCATGTCTTTATTCATGGCTATATATGGTTATAAGTCTAGTGCTTTGGTTCAAATGCCTCATGTCTTAAAAGATATATAAAACAAGCTTGAGTTGACAAAATTAAACATGCCCAAGAACCTAGTATTTTTCCTCACCGAACTAAACACCAGGCATCATCAAGCTTGTATCTGCATGTGGTATAGAAGTAACCACTACTGGATTGGAAGTTAAAAGCCTTGGAGCAGCCCAAGTGCTGGACAGTGTTGCTATAGCTTGTTTGGGTGGTGCCATCTTTGTTCTCCATGTCCCTGTGAACTTGAAATGCCCTGTCTTGGCCAGAAACTTGGGATTGTCATCGAAGGAGATTTTGGAGGGATCCAATTCCTAGGCCTGGCAAATGCTGTTTTCTAGAAGGGTCTCTTAAAAATGCCAAATGTTGCCGACTGTGAGACATCCTTGAGCTTGGCTACTCTCACAGTCCAGTGGGAGAGCCTGCCAGCAATGCCTTCCACTGCCAGAGCGCATGGCATGGGAAGCACTGCACATTGATCGTGAAAGCGCTTCCCAATAGACAGTGTCATCCTCCAAATATTACTTCTTGACGAGAACAAGCAAGACGATATCCAGCTCTCCAGAAGGAGACGACACTGTGACCTTGGATGGCATTCGCTCATACATGAGCTCCACCACTTCCTGGTTGCCAATGTGCTTCTCGATGAAGGGCTTGGACACCGCCTTCCAATACTTGGTTGCCGTGGCAGCATAGCTTGAAGATTTTGGATCCAGCCAAGGAAACTTGAGATTTTCCGAGTGAATGACAGTGAATTGCTGGTCCACTGATCCCAGTGATGACCTGACCTCGTCCCCACTGCGAAGATACGCAGGGAAATTGAAAGTATCCAAGCTTTCCTGGCTCACAAGCCCCTGTCCACCGTTGACCGGGTCAGCATATGTGTTGACTACACAGAGACAGAGAGAGAGAGAGAGAGAGAGAGAGACAGACAGACAGAGAGACAGAGAGAGAGAGAGAGAGAGAGAGAGAGAGATCGCTCTTTACCTCTTGGATGAGATCCTTCCACAATGATTGGAAGGGGAAATCGGCCTCGTTGAGCTCGTGGGAGAGTCTTATGGGAAACATCAAGAGGAGGATGCCTCCGGTGACTAATTCTTGGGCCCGGCTATGGAGGAAGATGGAGAGATCGTCGCTGGCTTGCTGGGCAAAGGCTTCGATTGCCGCGGGTGGCGAGGATCTGGAGACAAACATGCTGTCTCTGTTCCAGGCTGGCGAATTCTTGTCCGTGATCGACTCTGGAATCTATGCGCAGAGGTTTGAGCCTGTTTAGAGAGGTCGATTGGGCGAGAACTGACCTTGGAGAGGTAATGCAGTGCGTAGCTCGTCATTGCAAAGTGGATAGAGGAACGAGGAAAGAGCCTGCCATAGAACGACCCGGGAACCCCACTAAAGAAGTATGGCTCACCTTGGGGATGTCGGACTAGAGCGAAGAGAGTGTTGAAGTCATTGATTGCCAGATCCGAGAAGATGGCCTGGATCTCCAGAGGTTTTCGATCGCCCACTTGCTCTCGCAGCCGGATTATCTCTCGGGCCACGAAGTCCAAGGCCTGGATCGTGTTGGAGCCGTGGGAACATCCCAAGTCGGCAATTCGAATCACATCCAAGGAGGAATCGAGGAAGAGGGGAGCACTGCTCGCGATGGCTTGCTCGATTGCGGCGTGGACGCTGCTGAATCCTTGGGCCTGAAGACCGGAATTGCGATGGTAGCTATCCTTTCCAGAGCCGCCTTCCATCGCGGTGGGCTAGATTGCCAATCATAGCCGTCAAATTCTCCCGGCACTAGATTAGAGTAAATAACAAGGTTTAGTGCGCGGGAAAGATGCTAGGGTTTGCGATGGGCGAATTCATTCGTTTGGGATGAGGGTGCTGGCCTGCCCCTGCGCGACATTGTGGGCGGCGGCGCACACCAAGCCCAGCGCCGCCACCACCACCCTTGTCTCCTCCACCGCCAGCACCGCCCAGGTACTGTCTCTCCAATGCGGACAGCCAGCGCCGCCGGACATCTGTGATCATCACCATCATCCCCGGGGATTTTCGCTGCCTAGGGTTCTTGAGCTCGGGCATCTGGATCGCGATGATCCAGCAGAGAAGGAATTGGATCTACCAGCGTACAGAAATCTCATCCAGAGAAGCAGCGATGCCAAGAGCGCGCTCAAGCTCTACTGGCGCGCGCGCCAGCAATTCCTGGGCGTCGAATCCACAGGGATCCCTCCAGACGGCAGTGATCGAGGGTTGGCGCCTCCTCCACCCGCCGAGACGTGGAATTCGATCGAGGAGATGGGCGTGGCGGTGCTGGAGCTCTGCCTGGCGGCGCTGGCCAGCGGATTGGCAGGCGGCGAGAACCGCTACGTTCTCGAGAAGCTCTTCCTCAAGATGCAGTACGCGCGCCTCCCAATCTCCAAGTTCCAGTGCCGCCGCTTACTCCTCCAATGCGGCGGCGCCGCCAACGATCACGTCCTCCTCCGCGCGCTCTACGCCTTCATGCGCCGCCGCCGGATGCTCACCACCGCGCTGTGCAACCACAGCATCCAGGCCCTGGGCGAGCACGGCAAGTGGTGGGCGGCGCTGGAGATCTTCGAGACCATGGCGGAGGCGGGCTGCCCGCCCAACGATCTCACCCGCAAGCTCATCCGCGAGCAATTCTCCTTCCTCCTCCGCGCCGCCAAGAGGAAGAAGAACTCGTGGAGGTGGAGCTTGATGCTCCTGGGCAAGATGGAGGACAAGGGGCTAGAGCCCGGGAAGGAGGCGTGGGACGTAGCGATGGTGGCGTGCGCTCGCGCCGGGCGGAGCAAAGAGACGCTGGAGCTCTTCGCGCGGATGATCCGGGCGGGCCACGCGCCCGACGCGCGATCCTTTGGATCGCTGCTCAGTTCGATCGAGAAGGGGCGATTGGTCTCGATCCGGGACATGGAGCTGGTCCTGGAGAGCATGCGGAGGAGCGGCGTGAGGCCGATCGAATCGATCTACACGACGCTCATCGCGGCGCACGGCAAGGCCGGCGGTGGCGCCGCCGCCGCCATTCCCAGGATCGTGGAGGAGATGCAATCGCAAGGAGTCGCCATGGGGCTGGCGAGCTACAATGCCATCATCACGGTGTGCGCGCGCGGCGGCGACGCGGCGGGGGCGGTGGAGTGGATGCGCAGGCTCGAGGCGGCGGGGATCGAGCCCAATTCCATCACGTATAACAAGCTGGTGGAAGCGCTGGCGGCGGGGAATCGGTGGCGGGAGGCCATGGCGGCGTACGTGGCCATGGTGGAATCCGACCGGCTGGAGCCATCGCCATGGGCCTACGATGCTCTCGCGCGGGTGTGTAGAGCGAATAGCATTCCAATCGACCACCGCGTCGTGGGATGGAGGCCGAGACAACTGATCCAACACCGCCTAGAGGAAGAAGAAATCCACCAAGAACCCTAAATCCAAGGCGAAGCACCCTAAATCTAAGAACCCTAAAAACAAGTAGCTTAAAAAGGGGTTAAAGCCGAAAAAAGTGTTACACAGAATGGAAGGAGCTTTTGTTCTTACACACAAAATTTGTCTAGAGGATTTTTTTCCTCTCGAAGTAGGATTTGAGGTGCCATAGCTGCCACGCCGCTACCATGAGGCACAGGAAGAGCGACATGATGCTAAACCATGCCACTCGAGCGTTCGTAGTCTCGTTCACGCCGCGCATCTCGGCTTCCCTGCAAGGATTCACAGCTCGACGTTGTGAGATCACCCAGCTCTGAAAGAACGAAAGAAGGGATTACTTGTCTCGCAGGTAGTACATCTCCTCCCGGATCGAATCAACGACGTCTTCGAGCCTCCGAAGTTCCAGCTCCAGTCCCTGTTGTTGTTGGTCTTAGTGAGGAGGAGAAACACAGCGCAGCCGAGCATTTACCTCGAGTTTTTCTTTCTTGGCGATGCTGGCCCAATCTTTCGCTGCGACTCCAAACTTCCAGTCGAGCTCGATGCTTGCTGGGACATTGTCGGCGTGGGAATGCATCCAGAAGCAAGCCATGTAGTTCCCGGCCTCGGTCGTCGTGAAGCCAAACTGGCCTTCGTCTTTGTTCTCCGCGAAGTGTAAAGTTGTACCATAGGGAGAAGTTAACTGAGAGAAGAAAATGCAAACCAAAAGTTAGAACTTTAGACAACACGAAGATAAACCAAGAGAACCTCAAGATTTCCATGAAGATCTTGAGGAGAAAAGTTAGAGCACGACAAGCTTCATACCATCCAAAAAAATTCCAAACCAAATCAAAAAAATGGGAGTAAGAAAACCGAAGTTATTCTCTCCATCCAAGAAAAAATTCCAAGCCAAACAAAGCACAAAGAACAGAAGAAACACTCAAGAAATCTGTCCAGGAAAAGCAAGAGAGAAATCGCTGGAAGCCTTGCATGACGGGGTCAACAACACAAACCAGAGCTAACAGGAGAGAATCGATCCATACCCTTGCGTTGATCTTGGGATTGCTACCGTGCGGGAGATCCGCCTTGACGATGTGGTAATTCGCGAGAACCAGAGTGTTCGTCTGCAGATCCTCCGAGACGCACTTGGTCCCAGCTGGGGCGATGTCGAATCGAATGGCCTGGGAGTGCTGGAGTACGAGGAAGAAGAAGATCGGCAGCACCTGGATCATCGAACGAAGAAACCCCGCCATAGCCGCGACCACGCCACTGAAAATTAGGGCTTTTGGTAGACCTAAAAACAGAGCTCCTCGTTATGGAAGGAGGAGAAGAAATGGCGTTGGTCGTCGAGTGCCGGGCGGGCCATGGTGGAGAGCGCACTGCCACGATCCTCCAACGCAGCAACAGCGGCAGCGATGGCAGCGCATCCAAATCCTCCCAGATTCGCGTCCGGAGGTAATCGATCGAGCGCATTCTTAGCTTAAAATCTCGAGAATCTAGAATCTAAGCTTGGCTTTCGCAGGGAGAAGACGAGGAGGATTGCTCCGTGGACTTGGATCGTGCTCGCGTTTTTGCCAGAGGTCACATTTCCCGATTTGACGATCCTTCCATTGTAAAGAATTAGTTTCTTTTTTTTCTCTCTTGCAGGGCTATCCAAGCAGCGTGAGCTCGGATTACTTGGCCTTTCAGACCTGGGACACGCTACAGGTATTGCTTTTCTTCACTGGATTCATGGAGTTTTTTACATTGTTTGTGTGGATTTTCTTCCCAGGGTCTGTCAACTTACATACGAAGCATGCTATCCACTCAGGTGATCGCTTGGACGAAATGTATGAATCGAGTTCTTACACGGATTTTTCAGGCTCTTCTCAGTGGCATTGGAGTTGGAGCTGCGACAGCAACTGCGATAGGGGCAACGTTTCAGGTACTTGGATCTTTGTTTCTTCCTTGCTTTGCAAATTCTGATTGTTTTAAACTGGCAGTGGTTTTTGCGCGATCTAACTGGGATGGTGGGAGGCATAGTGTTCACTCTATACCAAGTGAGTAGACTCACTCTTTTACTCTATTTTATGAACTGGCTGTTTTTGCAGGGCTCTAATCTGGACAATCGAGCCAAGCAGTGGCGTCTCGCTGCTGACTTCATGAACGACATAGGTAAGGAGCTTCTCTAACTTAAACCGGCCAGCTTTTCCATTCACATGATTTCTAAAAGCAAAAAACACAGGAATGCTCATGGACCTGGTTTCTCCTTTGTTTCCCAGGGCTTTCATGTTCTTTCTTTGCCTAGGGAGCGCCGCAAGAGCAGTGAGTAAGAATGAAAACCGCCTCTAACGATGTCGACTCCAGGATTAAAGTTCTGCGTTTGAATCAGCTGGTGTGGCCGGTGGAGCTACGAGAGCCGCTCTGACGCAACACTTCGCCAGGAAGCAAAATGCTGCCGACGTTTCCGCAAAGGTAACTCGTGATATCTAAGCATATCTCGGCCTAAAACTCGAAGTTTCTTTGAGCAGGAAGGAAGCCAAGAGACCGCAGCAACGCTCGTCGGGATGATCGTGGGGATGTTTCTTGCGCGATTGACTGCAAACAACATTTTTTTAATGTGGACCTCTTTCATGTCACTCACAGCGTTCCACATGTATGGTAAGTGCTCTCCACGCAACGAAAAATACGCGCTCTTATGGACTCTCTGTCCGCAGCGAACTACAAGGCGGTGTGTGCTCTGTGCCTTACAAGCATCAACGCTGAAAGAATGGCGATTGTTCTACAAAGTTTTCTCAAAGATGGAAAAGGTGCGCGAGGATATATATTCGTCAATGCTCAGTGTTTTCTTTCTTTGTGTCGTCGCAGCTCCTTCCCCGGAAGAAGCATCGGCCCAGGAGAGCGCCCTACCGAGACCTTTCACGTCCAGAAGTGGCATTATCTTTGGTGCGAAAATCTCGTCCTTGTGCGGGGATGGAAGGTAACGAGTTTTGGATATCCTTGTAGCGTTGCAAAGAGGTGATTTTACATTGCACAGGTGGGAGGCGTGTTCTTCGGCTATCGAGAGATACGGAACAGGTGCGCCCATAGTTTGTTTTAGTTTGAAGTAACTTTTGATCTGCAGGAAAGTATCTACTAGTCTGCCAAAGAAATTCCATCCAGGTGGTTCTACACCACACAGCAACGTCCAAGGATTACTTGCGTGCCTACACTCACGCTCTTCTTCTCAAGCACAAGAGCGCGGACGAAGATCTGTGCTCCAAATGGATGGGAGAGAACTTTAACAAGCTCTATGCCATGGTAAGCAGTAAATCATCACAATCGTTTCTTATTCTCTTTCATTGTAGATGCAAGAATGTGGCTGGAAAGTCGATCACGTCTTGATATCCCCTTTGGAATGGAGGGCAGAATGGCTTTCCAAGCAGGAGTGACGATGATCACGCTTCCAATCGATCAATCAAATAACAAACTGACCTCCAGGAGATCTAGAACTTGGACACCTCGCTCTTCCCGTCAATTCCGTACCACCAGTACTCGAACGAGCCCTCCACAAAGTTGTAGTAGCCGCCATGGAGAGCAAGCGTGCCGCTGGAGACCGCTTCCTTGATGAAAGGGAAGGCAAGAAGGTTTGCCAGCGACACATTCACGGATTCCTGCAAGGACCAAACTTGTTTTAGCTTGAAAGTTCGGACAAACTTCTTGTCACTTGCCTTCTCGCATTTTGTACATTGGTGCTCAACTTGCTGCTGGGCTGCTGCGGCGAGCGTCACGGCACGAGCTGGACGTCCGATTTCGACCCAGTCCTCAATGAACGAACTGTAAGAAAAGGCAAGGTGGATACTCTCTCGTCACGCGAATGTGAGACTCACCTCCATTTGTTTGTGTTTTCTTTTTGTGTCATGAGAGCCTTGATGCCGCCGCATCTACTATGTCCGATCACCAAAATGTTCTCGACCTGGAGAGACGTTTCCTCAGCTAGAACACGAAAAAAGATCCAAATCTTTGATTTACCTTGAGAGCCGTGACTGCGTATTCAAGAGCTGCGCTCGTTCCTGGATAGCCAGCCTGTGAACTTGGTGAGCTCAAAAACGTTTCTAAACCAGTAGATACCTGTTCCGGAGGAGGCACCATGTTTGCAATGTTGCGAACGACAAATGCTTCCCCTGGCTGGAACCCCAGAATTGTTGTGGGACAAACTCTAGAATCGGAGCAAGCGATCACCATGAACTGGAAACCAAAAAAAAAAAAAAAAAAAAATTCAAGAAAAAAGCACCGTAATTGAGGACACAACATTGATCGACATCGATCAAACGTGCTGACCTTGGGATGTTGTCCTGTGGCCAATTGGCTGAAGAGCTCTGGTTTTTGGCTGGTCAAGTAGCAGCAGTGAAACGGAAGAATTGAATTGATAGCTTACTTGTATGTCTCTTGCTTGAATCTCTGGAAACCCTGCTTGATTCTTTCCGCGGGTGCGAGCCTCGTCTGAGCAGAGAAAACTTTAGCAAAATTCTAAAGAGCACAAGACGGATACCCACTTGCTGAACTTGCTGAGAACAAAAGATCTTCCTCAAACTAGCGGCTGCATTCTGAGGCTTCTCCACACAGTAATTGGAAGCATGATCCTTCTGTTGCAGGAATTCGGAGCTGGGCAGAGCTCGTGATCGCTGAAGCGACGACATGGAAATCTCCGGAGATGGATCTCTAGGGACCAAAGCTGTAGAGAATTCCCGAGTAAATATGTTGGCGACTGAGCATCTGCTATAGAATATTCAACAGATGAGTTCTCAGATGGAATCGTCTCATACCTCCCGAGAGATTGGATCCACAAAAGCGATGCTGCTGCTATCTGGCCATAACTGGTTTCACGAAGAACAAACGCTTCTCGGCGAAGCATGAGACTTTCTGTGCGTAATTGCTCCTTGCTCCTCTTCTTTGCTCTTCGTTGCTCCTCTTCGCGTTGGACAGCATGAGGAACTCGCGTGGAGGTGTGACGTGCTCTTGGATGAGGCTGCTTGTCTGGAGAGTCCATCCACGGACACGTCGGACTTCGGGACCATCACAGGAATCCTGGTTGCTGGGAACTCTTCTGAGCGGAATGTTTGTCGCTACACTGTATCGCCGCAAGTACTAACTGCAAACTACAATCCCCTGTGTTCACTGTAGTAGAGCCTCGGCCTCGTTTTCTCCTGCTCCGCCGTCAACTCTGAGAACGAGTACCATGAGTGCGTGTTGGCACCCACTGGAATAGCCGGCCGACGGAAAACCTCAATTCCCCGGGGGACATAAACCTCCAGTTCCAAGGAGTCTTCAACTCCACTTTCCGTTTGGAGGAACTCCATTCTCATCCAGCCGAGACCCGATATCGCAATGTCTCCGACAGGTCTGCGAGGATATATACGATAAGGAAAAGAAAAGAGAGCTGAACAGAGGCTGCATACCTGGTGTCATCGTAATCGAAAGTGAACTTGTTTCGGTGATCTAAACCGGGCCATGCCGAAGCTCTCTCATCGGATGGTGGGACTAGAGTCTTTCCAAGTTCTCTCTGCGGAGAAATGGTCAGACTGTACAAGTTTGAGAAAACAAAAACTTACTTTATAGAACTCGTCAGCTTCGGATGTGAGGACTTTGTGTACCCGCAGTGCTGCTGAGGCATAGAACGTCAACCGGGTGTTTTGAGGAGCCTGCATACACGATTCTAATCACAAGCTGTCAAAAGACCAATTCATTTACCTTCAAGACATCGATCCTTGCGATGCCTCCCCAGAACATAGTAGTGCCGGTAAGGTCCTGTACGTTCGATATCACCTCGTCCTTCTCCGCTTGCTTCAGAGCTTCTGAAAATATGGACTCGGGGCCCTTCCGTTCAAGAATCGGTGAGACTACATAGCCTCGAAGACGACGAGCTGGAAAAAGTGATGGAAGATCGTCTGGGGAGATAGCAGTCTCAATACGGTGGTGAAGGTGAACCCCAGGAGTATCGTACATGCTCTAAGCAGAAGATCAACTTAGACAACAAGAAAATCAAATGCGTACCCCTCCACTAGCAAAAGCATCGATTGAGATTGGGCCGACTGTAGTGCCAGGTAAAACTGACTGAACTGGCTTGCGTTTCCTTGCTACCGCTGCAATTGGATCTCTAGCGGCCATTTCTTCTGCAAAACAGACAGACAAGAACGTTTCTTCAATTGTGTGCACGTGAATAGCTTACTGAGCAGAGAGCTGATGAATGCGGATTTACCGACGTTGGCTGCTCCCTGGAATAAAAACATATAATCACAATAAATCAAAACTTCAAAACCCACGTACCAGTATATAGACATCACGTCCCTGAAAACATAATTTTCAACATGAGTCATAATGCCAACGAATAAAAAACAGACCTGTCTTTCGCGGTGAATCTCTTTGACAATATTTGTAATGCCCATGAAGTACTTCGCGCTCGTCAAATGCACACTGATTACACTACAAGCAGTACAGCGACATCAGAAAACAGGCTATAGAAAGGGCGCATTGGTTACTTCAGTTTCTTTCGTTGTGTAGACTCTACAATCCAGTCGCCAACAGCTGCCAAGTCTGTACCTTCAGGAAGAAGATCGACCTGCAGTCATGCATTCACAACAAGCTTTGAAATGTATACAGAAACAGCACCTTGGTCGCCACCAAAACAATTGGATTATTCCCGACGAGATCGCGAACACGGGTAAGAAAACTGCCACTGAAATCCACAATGTCAACCTGCAAACAAAGACTTCAGATTGATGCATGAATTACAATCAACTTACGAGTTTCAACACCAATACTCTTTCCTCGCGTATATGTGCCAATTGCGCACGCAATTCCTCCGCCGTCACAAAACCTTTCTCGCGTCCATAGATGCCGTAGCCACCGACGGCAGGTATAAGCTTTCCATGGCACATCAGTTGGCATCTGCTACAGAGCACAGATTTTAGCTGATGGTGCTTCTTTTTCTGCATAGAGAACGTGGACTGTTACTATCAAAGTGTAACCAGAAAAAGGAACTTACCAATTCATACGTCTCGGCATTGATGTATCCAGGAGTGTTTTCTTGCGTATACTGGAGAACTGCACCGCAACCATAGCAGCAAGGCTCGAGAGATTTTAGCTTGACCACCTGTGACTTCCCCTTCTTCTTTTCACGCTTTGCGGCCAGTTTCTCTACCAGAGCTTGGTCTCTGACTTTCTGCTCCTCCAAAAACTTGTCACCCCTGCTTGGAAGCGGAACATACCCTGACGAAACCTCCTCTTTGGTCGATTCCTTTGGATCAGCTGGTCCTTTAAACTTCCGAGAATCGCCAGCCTTGTACTGTGTTTCTTGTCTGGTCTTCTCGTGTCTTGCTCCAAAACGATCCAATCGCTTTTTATCAGCGATCTCAATCACGATTGAATCACCTTGCAAAGTCTTCTTGGCGAAAGACTTCACATTCTTCCTCTCGGAGCTGCTAGCCACGATATTCGCAGCAAGCCAGCGCGAGGTCGAGAATGCGCTGGGTGAAACCAACGCGGACGCGCTGAATACTGGCATGATGAATCCAAGAGCGCCTAGATACTCCTAGAATGAGAGCGGTAGCAAAACGGGGGCTAGATGCAGCAAGATTTTCATGGCATTCGAAGCATCAAAACGATTGATCAGCCATTCCTGGCACGTTTCAAGCATCAAGACGAAGCAAATATCAGAAATTTCAAGAATCCCGACCATGACAAGCACATTATCGACATACCAGTCCCGACCGCAAATAAGCGCCATCGCCCCACGCTCCGCCTCGCTACAAGGGCTTTAGCAAAGAAATAGGGTTCTAGAGAGAAACCCAAATAAAACGAATATATCGCGAATATACCTCTCAATTTAAATCTGTTTAAAAAAAGGAGGAACAACGTTCCTTCGTTTTATTCAAATCAATCTTTATAATACAGCAAACCAGGGCATAGATGGATCTTTCCCCCCCCCCCTTCCATGTACAAAAAGAATTCATTTGGAATTCATAGCGTAGTAGAGACACACCCAAAAGAAAAAAAAAACCTTAGAACAATTTTTTTTTTTGTTGTGGTTGGAGTGTGGTATCATTCACCCAATCGATTTGATTCGCCTCTTCGCGCCCACCATGCCCTGGAGAGATGCCCTGGGAATCTCTAAGACCCGGGGGTGAAGTTGGTGGCATATGCCCAGGCATTGTTAGCCACTGGATCTGCCAGGTGGTCGGACAAGTTCTCGAGGGGGCCCTTACCGGTGACGATGGCCTGGACAAAGAAGCCAAACATGGAGAACATCGCCAGCCGTCCATTCTTGAGCTCCTTCACCTTGAGCTCCGCAAACGCCTCGGGATCCTCGGCCAATCCAAGGGGGTCGAAGCTGCCACCTGGGTAGATCGGGTCCGTCACCTCGCCCAACGGCCCTCCGGCGATGCGGTAGCCCTCCACGGCGCCCATGAGGATGACCTGGGACGCCCAGATGGCGAGGATGGACTGGGCGTGGACGAGGCTAGGGTTGCCCAGGTAGTCGAGGCCGCCCTCCTTGAAGATCTGGGAGCCGGCCTTGAACCACACCGCCTCGCCGAATTTGATGCCGTTCTTGGAGAGGAGCTCCGGGAAGACGCATCCCAGCGCGCCCAGCATCGCCCAGCGGGAGTGGATCACCTCGAGCTCCCTGTTCTTGGCGAAGGTCTCTGGGTCGGCCGACAGCCCGGCGGTGTCCCAGCCGTAGTCGCCCGGGTACTCGCCGGTGAGGTAGGAGGGGGACTCGCCGCTGAAGGGGCCGAGGTACTTGACGCGGTCGGGGCCATACCAGGGGCTGCCTCCTCCCACCGAGGAAGCCTTGCCGGTCTTGCGCATCGCGATCCGGGAGCCATTGCTAGCGTTGCGGGCGACGAACTCGTTCTGGGGCTTGAGACCGGTCTGGCCGGCGAATGTGGATGGAGCGGCCATTGTGGCGGTGGCAGTCATGGCGGCCATTGCTCGATCGATCTAAGCAACCAAAGGGGAAGAGAAGAGATCGCTCCTGTGCTCGAATGCTCACTCACTACACACTGGACTGCTGCCCCAACACTCCCCAGTGTAGTGTTTAAATGCGCGCCTTACCTTATCCCGTCGTGGCGCCTCCCGGCCAATGAGGGGTGACAATTGGATTCTGGCCGAGGTGGACGATTTCCAGCCGATGACATTATCGAAATTCGGATGAGCTGGACGCCTTCCAGCCAATTGCACCGCGCTGTGGGTCCAGCTCGCGAGCCCAACTGGTTGCCTCTCTCGTGTCCACGTGTGCCATGTCATTGCTGGCATGGGCTTGCCGCTCGGTCCATGTCATACGCTGGCAGTGGCTATCCCTGTAATCTCCACGGCCAACCATGGCCACTTCTTTCTACCCGATATTTTTCTCCACGGGAAGGTGATAAGGCCCTGGCAACGAATATGATATGGAGTTCAACGGATCACCATAAAAAGTATATCATATCAAAGCAATCGCATAAATAGGGCTGCGTGGCACGAATTTCCATGTCAGGTGCCATATCATCATTGCTAAGCATGATCGTTTTAGGCATACCTTTTGGCCTTTGATGGTGGTCAAAACTATCCCTCTTTCGCTTACTTTACCTGTGATGACAGTGAGAGGATCAACCTATGCGGATTGATCTCTGCAAATTCAGAGTAAGATCTCGAAGAAACTCTTCTTTTCTTCTAGTGATCTAGTTCTTTTAGTATGGAGGCTATGCTCTATCTTCGTGGCCACAGCCTTTTTACTCTTACTAGCGAGAAGTTGAACAGACAGATGACATCGCACGCTGTTAGCTGAGGAAAAGCCTTCTTTAGGTGCCACATGAACACATTAGTAAAGAAATCTGGCTTTTCTTTTCTTAATTCTATTGTTATGTAGTTTACACACACAGAGAGAAGGGGGGGGGAAGAGGGGGGACTTTGCTCATTCCATGCTGTGTGCTGTGTTGCGATGCAATGCAGTGCAATGTAATTCAATGTAGATCATTGTCCTTGCTGTTTGTCTCTTGATTCAGTCATGAGGCTCGTCCGGGAAGTTATAGCCAGGAGTTGTCTGCCTTTCGTCTAGCGCTCGCAGGAAGAGTGCTGCCATAGCTGCCGAGTCCGGGTTTCCGATGAGTTCTGGGAGGTTTGGAGCCGTGAAGTTCAGCAAGAATAATTGTAGACGTATGTATGCTGGACATTCATAAATCACATCTTAGTCCCCAATCGGCAGAGGTGACACCAACGCTAGTCTCTAGGGGTGATCGGTGTTGCCAGTGATGTCGTGGACTACTTTCCAACTTGGATTTGACATCATGTAAGTTGGAACTTGGGGTTCTTGTTGGATCCTACTAGCCAACCTTTGAGGCTGATCCATGCTTGGGGGACCTTTGTCACCAATTGTGCCAGGAACAATTCAAAGTTGAATTATAGTCTCTCCATCCATTGTTGGCAGTCCTTCCACCATCTGTAGTTTGTTGTTTGTATACAATGGTTGAAGAAGTGAGAGTATGATGAGTTTCCATGCCTGGATTAAATTCAATTTTGATGTAAAGGAGTCCATATGATGCTCTTTCCTGAATGCTAAAGTCTGTGGCTGGTGAACGTGTGGTTCAAGTCTTCCAGCCAGGACCAGATTGGTTGGGTGCTCTTTTCGGGCGTCCCATCAGTAGATACCGTTTTGTCGGAGCGTATTGATTAGGCCGTAGTATGCCCAATTTGCTACTGCTTCCCGCTGTATAAGTCCAGTCGTCCATGCGCGTTGGTGGTGGAGATGATACCCTAAGTATTTGTAGGTGGTGACTTCCTGTCCTCGATAACTGGGTGGTGCTATCACAGCTTTGGACTCGAAGATCACGATCTATTTGCTCTGATGGATAGTCCTGTTGTTTGGCAAAAGCTGCTTCTGTAATTTTTTCTTTGTAAGTCATCTGCATATAACAGCAGATGGAAGTTTAGAACCACACACTTTCTAGCTTTTTAAAGTCTCATGAGTATGGGTATACAAACTAGATTTTCCTACTCAATACTTAGTTCAAACAAACCAAGAAACTTTGGTGCGAGCCAAAGAATCCAATTTACAAAAATAAACCACTCCACCATTGTGCAACCTCACCTGGACTCGGAAATTGATACCAACTTGGCCAAAACCAAACCAATTTAGCTCCAACATCTTCAGCCCTCGAACCACTTGAGCCCAAGGTTTAAGACTTAAGTTTAGTTTGAGTACCAACTAGTGAGCTCAAAGGTACGACAACCGCTGTTTCGTCATTGTTTGTGATGATAGAAACTCAATGGTGCTTTTCAGCCGACTGCTTTTATGTCATCAATGCATTTTTTTTAGCTGAATGGCAAAATGAAAAACACAAGTCATGTGATTAAAATACGTATCTTTTTCTTTTGACATATATAAAGAATAGAAAGAAAAGGAAAACAAAAGTTGTAAAACACAAAAGAATTTCTGTAACTTGACTTTGAGCTCATAGAGTGCTAAGTTAAATTGAGGCCACCAAGGTGAGGGAGAGAGTCTCCCTTCACTCAGTCATTTCCATGTAAGCTCCAAGCATAGGGACACCACGTTTATGTAGAAAACTCCATGCAGGATCCTTCTCACCGCTTCCAAAGTACCTTATTCCAACCAGCATCCTCATGCTCGAAGTGCTCCCTCATGTTGATGGTGTTCCCAGCCTTGGCCTCGTTCAACATTGTCTGTACCCGGCCGCCTCCTTCCATCCTTCACGTCGTCAACAAGTGCTCCACGCAAATCCTTCTCACGAGCTTCCAGTGAGCGTCGTAAGGGGCCAGCCCGACCCGACGTCCTGGTCGTGGTATGACATGAGCATTCCTGCAGTAGTTCTCGGCCGAGACGAGAAAGTATCGTCCTGAGTCCAGCTAGCAAGTGGAGCCAAGCCTGCAGTAGACGAGAGGTCCCTACTTTTGGCACCAGCCAGCCATTGTCCTGTGGGGGTCGGCATTAAGTTCCCAAGGATCGGCCAGCCGGGAGGACCTGAGGGTAACTTCCTTTTCTCTTTTCTTCCCAGCATCACCGAGACAACACAGAGCTGCCACAAGCATGTACGCAGCGTTCCATCCCTCAACCGAGCTCAGGAAATCCACCATCATGCTCATGACTTGGAATCTGGAAATGGAAGTCTTGAGTTCTAGGATCAAACAGATCTAATTTAAAGTTAAAATTCTGTGATATTTCGCGATAATCATGCCTCACAACATCTAGGAGACGCAGAGCGACCTAATATCCACGATGGAGTCCACAAGGGTCCTTCCATGGAATGGCAAGGGTCCTTGCACACCCTATAAGTCAAGGGTTAGCTTGATCTGCTTTGACTATTCCTTGCCATCTTAATCTGTCACCATCCACCACAACCACTTCCTTGAGCCAAGCATGCTTGCCCAGTTGCTGAAAGACTGTCATCAGTCAAAACCTTTGCTAATCAACTCAGATCTGAATCATCAAAAACCAACAAAACAAAGGATATACTTGATCTGAGATTAATGGAGAGAGTAGAACCTCTCATCCAGCCGAGATTTTGCCACTGCTCGCAACGGAGTCCTCGGCGGCGTCGTGAGGCCGTAAGCTTCCATAACGTCGATGTCTCCCGTGCTCATTCCCGGCGGTGGATACCAGTCGAATCCACGCAAAAGTCGTCCCAGGCCGAGGAGGAGCATCGACTGCCCGAGTTGGGCACCGGGGCACGCCCGCTTGCCGGAGCCAAATGGAATGACGCGGTACTCGGAGTCGCGGAGGTGGACTTTATCGTCGGTCCTGAGGAACCTCTCAGGCCGGAACTCGTCGACGTTGTCCCACACCGCGGTGTTCCTTCCCAGCCCGTGAGTGTTGATGAGGATGAGCGAGCCTTTGGGGACGTGGTAGCCGGCAACTTTGGTGTCTCCGATCGACTCGTGAGGTATGAGGAAGCCGCCAACCGGGTGCATCCTGAAAGTTTCTTTGACAGCTGCTTTCAGGTAGTCGAGGCTCGCCAGATCCGACTCTTCCACCAAGTGTTTGTTGGTGACTTTCTTTTCCAGCACCGAGTCTATCTCCTCCTGGACTTTGCGCATAACTTTCGGGTTCCGGATCATCTCGAGCATAAACCACTCCATAGTGAAGGACGCGGTATCGGTGCCCCCCACGACCATATCCTGAGATAAAACTTTACTATACAAAGGAACAAGGACTTAGTTACCTGTATCAGTGCTTTGATTTCCACGTCGTTGAGCTCGCTGTTCTCACCGAGAAGAACGTCCACAAAGTCCTTAGGACCATCGACCACTTCCTGCCTCGTCCTGTGCTCCTCGATGATGTAGCTGTAGTAGTCGTCCATTCGCTTCCCAATCTTCTTAAACTGGTGCCTATAACCTTTGGGATCCATCCACTTGAGGAGCGGTACGTGATCCGGAATGAAGAAAACACCAATGAGGGCAACAGCCTCGTGTAGGAGCTCCCGAATATCGGTGGCCTCCTTCTCACCTGTGGACTCCGTTCCAAAGTATTTCTTTCCAATCAGCATTCTGGTTATCACATTCATGGTGAAGCCTCCCAAGTGCTCCCTCATGTTGATGGTGTTCCCAGCCTTGGCCTCCTTCAACATTGTCTCTACCAGGTCGCGAGCTTCCTCGGCCCGGCTCTTCTGGAACCCTTCCATCCTTCGTGTCGTCAGCAAGTTCTCCACGCAAATCCTCCTCATGAGCTTCCAGTGAGCATCATAAGGGGCCAGCCCGACGTCCTGGTCGTGGTATGCCATGAGCTTTCCCGCAGTAGTTCTCGGCCGAGACGCGAAAGTTTCGTCCTGAGTCCACAGCAGCTCCCGGATCATCTGAGGCGAGCTAGCGGTGATGGTCGGAGTGGAGCCCAGCCTGCAGTAGACGAGAGGTCCATACTTTTGGCACCAGCCAGCCATTGTCCTGTGGGGGAGGGGACCGAGCTGCATTAAGTTCCCGATGATCGGCCAGCCGGGAGGACCTGGGGGCAAATTCCTGTTCTCTTTTCTTCCCAACATCACCAATACAACGAAGACCAGCGCTGCCACAACCATGCACGCAGCGTTCCATCCCGGTGCCGAGCTTAGGAAATCCACCACAGTGCTCATGACTGACTTAGAAACTCGAAAACAGAAGTTACCTTGACGAGTCGGCTTTAGAGTGGCGAGTGGCGTCAGGGGATAGTGGCGACGATAACCTTGCTCTCGGCCTGGGATACGAGAATGGTGGTCGTGGCCTTGGAAATGCTAGCACTGCTACTACTTCTGGGAAGTCCCGCAAACCAGGATCATCGTCTTCTAGTCATGGCAGTCATGGCGACCATTGCTCGATCTAAACAAGCAAGGGAAAGGAAAGAGAGATGAGAGCGCTCGCTCATTAGCTCGAATGCGAGAACACTACACACTGGACTGCTGCCATAGTGTTTAAATACGCGCCTCCTTGTGGGCGCTGGACGAATGGCAGCTGTGCCAGCGTGGACTTTCCGCGCGCGGTCCATGTCATGGCTACCAACCATGGCCACCTCTTATTCGTATTGTTGGGCACAAGAAGATTTATAAGATGTAAAATAGTGTAGCAAATCTATGTTGTTTTGGGAAAATCTCACAAAGCTATGGAGTGGAAAATGGTCCATGTCATGGCTACCAACCATGGCCACTTCTTTCCACATGATATTCTTCTCCACACAAAAGTTATTTGGATTTTTGGGCACAAGAAGATGTAAAATATATTGTAGCAAATCTATGTTGTTTTGGCAGAATCTCACAATCACAAGAAATGCCATGTAAGCTATGGAGTGGAAAATGTTTCCTCTCCAAGAGCTTTAGAGTTTAACGGGGAGTTAAACAGCACCACCATCCAACCAAGATTCCCACCAAAGCACCCGCCACCACCTGGAGAGGAGTGTGTCCCAGTAGCTCCTTGAGCTTCTTCTCGCTCACGGGATGCCCCTGGAAGAGATCCTTGATGATCATGTTGAGAACCTGGAGCACAAGAAAGCGCAAGGCCCGAGTCACATACTGCTAGCGCTCAAGAGTGTTTGATCCTACAAACTGACCAATGCAACGAGTGCTACTCTAAAAGTCTCCTCTAGAACTCCCTCCTCAAACTTTGCTGTGATTTACGAGAACTCTTCATGATCTAGAGATCTAAAGACCCAGCAACCCCCTGCTTCCTTGATCCTACTCTACGCGATTCTCTCAGGCCAGAGCGATGCAATGCAGAACTACAGCGAGAAAATGGCTATGGATGGATGGAGAAGACGTACCTCGGCTTGCATTCCGGCATGGCGTCTCACTCCCGTGGCATCGTACATGACAATGAGGCTAAACCCGAGGCAAACCGGGAACAAGGCGTCCCCGACGCCATGGGAGAGCGCCACCGAGGTGGTGAGCCCGAGGCAAAGCGCCGAGTGGGACGACGGCATGCCGCCCGATCCAACCAGCATCCTCAAATCCCACCGTCGGTATACCACGTAGGTGGTGAGCACCTTGCTCGCCTGCGCCACCATCCACGCCACCAGGCCGGACATGAAGGTGGGATTCGCCCGGAGCGTGACGATCACGGGGCTGAGATGCGCGCTGGCCATGGCGGAGGTGCTGAGCAGCGCCATTCCCAGCGGCGACGATCCATTGGCGAGGAGATTCCCGCTGGGCGCGGCGCTGGGCGATGACCTAAATATCCTGTCCGCGAGGGAGACGAGCAGCGATGCGATCCGGGCGAGCGCCGCGACGAGCGATGTGAGGCAGATTATGGTGAGGCAGCGCGAGGAGCGCGAGCAGTAGAGACGTACCAGGCTCCTTCGGGTGGAATCCCTGCCGCGCCCGGGGAGCTTTGGGCGATTGGAGGAGGAGGAGGAGGGATTCAAGAAGGCCGCGCCGATGATCGGGAGCGCTGGATTTCTCGGGGCGATCCCGACCGGAGCTCGCAAATGTGGGAGTGACGAGCGAAGGAGAGGAGGAGGATTAGGGCTCCAGGAGGAGACCATGGCGACGCTCATTCCCCCGCCATTGTGCCTTCTCCAAACCCCGGCCACGAATCCCAGCCAGCGGATATCCCTGGAAGGATGTTCCATATATTCTTTTCATGCGCTTAACTTTATAAAACCTCTTCGTGGAGGAGAAAAAGCAAGCTTGATTTTTCTAGACTTTTCGCGAGAACTTGGAAGAGAAAAACTATAACTTTGATCTTTGCAATTCCTTTTCCACTTTTGCATCATCTCGAAGTTTGCGTCATTGCTGTGACAATGCAAGCTTTCTTCTATAGAAACAATCACGAAAAGGAGGAAAAACAAAGAGCGAGCTTACTTCATTGTCAGGAAGTTTTGCACACTGTGGCTCGAGCTTCGCAGCCCGGGTAGACAGCCAGCCCCGGATGATTGAGCTGCTTCTCTGCGAAGCACGCACAGCGGGATTCTCCCGAGCCTTGAGATGGAAGCGGCGATGGTTTGCTGAGAATGCGAGGATAACCACTGTCACACCACACCTGCAAGAGTTTGAAGCACACCATAATCAACGTAGGAACGCTGGAGTATCATCGTTTTGAGTACCTCTCCACCTTCGCTTTGAGACCACCGTGAGTTGCAAGTCGGGAACTTTTTCTCCTCGGCTTCCTGCTGCTTCAAGAGCTCCTCGCCTCGTTTGATCCTTTTCTCGACGCGCAGCAGCTCGTCTGTCGGCTTTCCATTGGAGTCGTAGTACGTTCCAATTAGCTTTCCAATATATCTGCAAAGAGTCTTATCTGTCAACCAGAGAAAACAAAGAAAGAACTTACGAGTAGCTCCTGTGATAGAAGCCTCGCCAATCTCCTATTCTTTTCACCTATATGAAGAGCAGTGTGAGTGAGGGAAGAGAGTTTAGAATGAAACAATGAAGACCTCTATTGGCGAAAGACCACGAACACTGTCAGAAAGCCCATCGCCTGTAAAGGATCAATCGATAGAAAAACATTGGTTGCTCAAAAGATGAGAGAGCCATCACTGATCAGTAGATAATTTTACCAGTAAAGTTTCCAGAAACGAATGCTCTCGTCGCGTCCCTGATCATGATCATATGGTTAGCGGAAGAAAAAAAAACGAAGGAGAATTTCTATAGACCTTCCAGAGAAGTGATGGTAGCTCCCTCCAATGCCATAGTGTTGTCTTCCACTCGTGACATCAAACACAGACCTTGTAACATCTATCAGCACAGTGAGCCAAACAAAAACAAGAAAAGCGAGAGTTTTCTCACCCCAGAATGCTCAAGTAAATTGGAAGCTCCTTGCTCGCTCCATCGAACTGGGACAAGCTCTCACTCGTGAATATCCTCTGCGAAGAGAAATGCCGCTAACTCCACAGAAGGAAAAACAAACACTCACTGGTTTTGGAGTCGCCAGACGAAGCACAAGAGCAGCGATCGCAACAGCGCTAAGAAATCCAATCCAGCCAGGACGTCCCCGCGGCGGCGGCGCCGCCACTGTCTTCCCATTCTCCTCTTCGCGAGCTGCCTCGCCAGTAGAAGCGGAAGCTCCATCGCGATCGAGCGAGCTCCTCTGCCGCATTCCACTACTAGCCATTTAGCCTAGCTCATTGGAACCCTAGAATTCCAGCCTATCTAGGGTTTTCTGGGCCAGAGCGCATTACAATGGGAGCTCTGGAGCTACTGCCTTGGATCGCATTGCTCGCGAGCTTGATTCTTGCTGGAAGTGCGAGCGCTGAGGACGGCGGGTCTGTGTTCTTCGTGGAGACTGGACAGGGAAAGGATTATCTACAGTCTGGCTCCCAGGTGTGGTATTATCTTTCGTTCTCTATCGACTGGATGATTGTTTCTGGATCTGGATTGATAGGAATCGGTGTTCTCGGAAGCTGATGTTGCGGCATCCGTCGCGGTGCTTCTTGGTGTGGATCCGCCAGTGACAATGTCCGAGGTCTCCGCCAGCAAGGTATGGAGGTTTTTTAACTTCTTTGTTCTTCTTTCCAGTTATTCGATGTTTTTTTGTAGCTCGAGAGGCTTCTTATTCCAAATGTATTTCACAGGCCACAGAGAGTAGTTTCGCTGGTGATCGAAGGTTTCGATTCAGGTAAGCCACGAGCGAAGCTTTTATAGCTCTAAAAGGAGAATTTTATGTTATACACAGGCTTCCTGCAAGAAAAGAACGTCTCTCAGGCTCTCGGAGTGAAGCTGGCTGAGCAACGTGGTTTGAGTGTAAAGCCCAAAAGGGCAGCAACAAAGCATCTGGGTACGCATTCATGCGATTATCTTTGAGATAAGATTGATGTGTTCGCAGCGGGGAAGCCTGTTAGACTGGAGTCTCTCAACCATCCTGTTCCGGAGAACTTCGACTTGTTTCACCTGAAACGCGAGCTTCAAGGTCTTGTAAGTTCCCTATTGGAACTGAGTTTGAAGAAACTGAGTGGCTGGGTTTTGCAGTTTGGACCTTCTTCGGTAGAAGTTTCAACCGAGGATAACGTCGAAGAAGAAACTGCCGACGAGAATGCCGCGGAACAGGAGCTCGTGATACTTTCAGTCGACGGCATTTCTCTCGAACTCGATCTTTTCAAGGCAAAGCTTTCTTTCCTTTTTTTTTTTTAACTTTTCGTATGGTCCTTACATTGGTGCTCTCTTTCAGAGGTCGGACTACCTATTTGTAACAGACCTTCTATCCCTATCAGCAGGAGTGAAACGTGCCGTCTCCGTCCACGAAGAGCTAACAACAAAGCCGGACACCGCAGAGCTCTTTTTCGGTACATTTACGGGGATCAAGGTAACTCCATCGAATGAATGCGTGCTACTGTACCGCGAAAAACTTTCGCATCTTGCAGGCTCTAAAGCGGGAGCGACAGGACGAAGATGTCAGCAAAGCTTCAGACATCGTGCTTATTGCAGTGGCAAAGCTATTCCAAAAGCTGGATACACTGACAAATGGTTTGTCCCCACAAAGCAAGATTCTCTAGCTTTTGTAACTATTGCCTCTCAGGAAAACTAGTCGGTGTCGTGGCTTTCCCGGGCCAGAATGGACACCATCTTGTACGGGAAATGATCGGCAAGCACTACCACTCTTACAGATCCAGGCTCCTCGAGCAAGAGAAGAAGCCGCAGACTGTGGAGCAGCTTTCACGGAGGACTCTGGCGGCCTCGACGGCCATCATTCTTATCATAGCCACTTTGCTCGGAGTAAGAAAAAGAAAAACTCTCTCTTCGTTTTCTCTAATCCTTGTTTCTTTCTTTTTCCTTCTTTGCAGACTTGCTGCCTATGTTACATGCCTCTCACTCGCGACTCTCTCCTTTACTCGGGCGCAAAGCTGGACTAAACGAATGCCTGTATAGTAGAACTTTTGGAATAATCTTATTCAACTCATCAGTTAGTGTGGGGGAGCTTTTTAGTACAAGAGGAGAGGTAAACGAAAAACATTCGAATTCTCGCTTCCAATTTTAACAAATCTTCTTCTACTGCTCTGCTGCTCAGTGTAGAACTGTACCGTTAAACGTCGATCGGTGATCGTCGGCTCTTCGCGAATAAAACGAACGTCGTGGAAGATCACAAAAGGATCTCCGTCGTAAACTTCCAAGAACTCTGGACCGATGATCCCAACAGCGAAGCCATCAACACCACGCCGGCTGCTTGTAGTTAGCTTGGAACGCGTCGCAGCCACTTTCCGGCTCCTTGCGCTTCCCGGCCTGCGTCGCCACTTGCCCGAATCCTCGCAAGTGGTCTTCCAGCGGCACTCCCCGTCTAAGATCATCCGCCACCACCTCCGGCCCGGTGTTTAGATCCAAGCTCGGCCTCGTCCACGCGCTGCCACCTCCGCCGCCAACGCCAACGCCAACACCACCGCCGCCATCTCCAGCTCTTCCAGCGTCCGCGATCCCCATCAAATGCGGCCTTATGAACCGACTCATGGCACCCGGACCGCCACCTATCTGCGAGGACACCGCCGCCTGGTACTGTGGAGGAGCCGGGCCTGGAGCCTCCACGAACGAGGAAGCCGGGAACGCGGACGATGAAGCGTTGAAGGAATAGTTGGAGAATGGAAAGCCAGCGGCAGCATACGGGTAAGGCACCGGAGCGCTCCCAGGATAGGCGACCGCCGGAGTGGCCAGCGTCATGCCTCCCCTGTAGAGATCCATGTTGAAGTGTATCGCGCCACCTCCAGCGTTGAGAAACGGCTGCGTTGGAACCTGGTAGCTCGCCTCCGCGGCTCTGGCCATTGGTAGCGCTGGTATCGCCACCGCCGAGAAGGAGTTGCCTGGCGGGAACCACGGCGCTACGCCAACCAAGTCGCCACCCATCCGAAAGCCGGAAGGGACCGCCGCCGCCGCTGGACCCAAGCTAGCAGCGCTGTTGTTGGCGTTGCAGTTCTCCGTGCTCCGCAAGCTCATGTGCTGGACTAGCGTCGATGGCTCTTCATCGTCAACCGGACCGTTTAAGTCGAAGTCTCGTGCCATGCCGCGGGTGCTAGCTTCTGCCGCTCCTGCTGCTGCGGTTCTGGATTGGCCGGAGCTATGAACTTTCATATCCAGCCCCATTCCCCTCCCATCTTCGCAGTCGTCGGCGCAGTTGAGGTCGAAGTCGGCACGCCCGGAGGTCGAGGCGCTGGCTTTCACGGCAGCAAACGCCTTCGGCACGAACGAGTTCTCGAAACCTGTGCTTTCGTCAGCGATGTTGAGGTCGATGTCTAGAGGCTGACGAGTTTGCTTGCTTTCACCGGCGTCTTGTTGATGCTGCTGCTGCACTGCTTCGTTCGCTCGCCTAGGCTCGGCGGGACGGAAAGCGCTGGTCGCTGCCGAGCCTTTCCACCCGGTCTCGGCCTTGGACTTCCTCAGAGACTCTGGAGGAACGTACGCGCCTTTGGTTGTAGGGAGAACTGGGATCGGAGTCGTCGGAAGCGCGGCAGAAGCGATCAAGTTCAAGACGGGAGCACAGGAGACATCCTTGAAACCTTCGTCACCTCCGAGGCCTTCGTTCAGATCGAAGTCGGGTCTGGACAAGCCTGCTGCTTCGGCTGGCTTTTCTTCCTCTGCCTTCAAGTCTGACGCGTCCAAAGTTGGGCCTGGTTTCTCGTTGCCACCTTGAGTAGAACCATTCAAAGCTCCCGGAGAATGTTCTGGACTTTCTACGTGACCTCCTGCAGCCTCTGTTCCCGCTGCCTGGTCTGAAACTGTAGTATCCTCATTACCATCAGCTGCCTTAGAATCCCCCGGCTCCTGATTTTCTTGCATCGACACTGAAGCAAGAGAGCACCTTTCCAGAAGATGGCGCGGACTCGAATCGGGGTCCTTCACTGTCGAGAGAAGATGAAGCTTGGCGTCCCGATCCTCCGAAGACAAATGAGATGTCTCAACTTCCTGCTCGACCTCCTTAGCAATTTGCTGCGCCACCTCAAGAGCATCATCTTCAAACTCTGACGTCGACTCCACAATCTTAGTTTCTTGTTGCGACGTCCCTTTTCCCTGCTCAGCAGCATTCTTTCTCGACTCTTCAGAGCTTGAGTTCTTCCCAAGGAAGAAACTGTTCCTCTTCTCAGCCCAGGATTCCAGCCCTCGTCCAGGACCGCCTTCATAGCTTCCTCTCCCACTAACGGCACCATTCGGACTCGGAGTATCCCTCTTTTCACTTTGAAGGTAAGTATCTGCCGGCTTGGTATGGTCGTCGGGTCTCCTGAGCGTTTGAGAGGTATTACACCGCGGCTCAGGACTTTCGCCCAGGCCCTCCAACTCCTGCCTAGGCCTCGCATTTTCACCAACGTGACTTTCATCCACAGCTGAGCTCATTGCATCCCTTGCCTCATCGCCTTGGCCCTTGAGGTCGACTGACATTTCCGTAAAAGAGGAACTTGATGCGCAGTTGGCTCCGTCAACACCGTCGTGTGCATCTTTCCGTCTTGCTTCCTCCTTCGATTCCGATGGTACATGGTGGTTCTCAACACTACTGCGGTCCGCAGTAGATCCAGCCACCTCCTGATCTACCGTGCCTATCTCCGACATTATAGTACTCCGTCCGGAGGCCCCTACAGCTGCATCCCCTGATATTCTGCTGATCGCTGACACCGGAATGATAGCCATGGAGACGGCAGCCCTGTCATTTGAATCGGACGTCCGAGACACCTCCGACTTGTTTTCAGCAGCTGCTTGAGTGTTTTCTACGTCCTCTTTCCCGTCATTAGGCCCGTGAAGTCTCTGCCTTACATCCGGTGCCTCCGCAATGCTCGAAACCGCCGTCTGGTCAGGAAGGCTCGGCGAAGATCCCTGACTTCCTGGTCCAAAAACTTCCTCGTTAACACCTAGGGAAGATGACCTCGGTAGCCTCAAAACTTTGGTGATGGACTCCGGAGCCGAAAGTTCTCCTTTTTCCCTGGCCCAAGTAAGCGGCTTACCCACAGTAGTTTCTTTCGCCGCGGAGCCTTTGTTGTGGCGATGGTTGGAACTGTTGGATTTAGAACCGGAAGATGATTTTGCGTCGTCCTTCCAAGTGATAGAGCCCGCAATGGCATTGTTATATGGCTGACCATTACTGTGCTGCGGCTGATTGGTTCCTTTCTCCGATTTGAGCTTTGTGACGGAAGCACCATTCGCTCCTGTTTGAAACATCAAAAATCACATCAGAAACAGCACCATAGGCTCACACTCTGACCTGCTGTTTGGCTGGCGACGTCCGAGGGGCTGACATTCATGGGATTTTTCAAAGTTGTGGACCATGCGCTGCCGTGTCCTGCAGCCTTTGCACCACCTGACGAGTTCATCTCATCCCCAACACGCTTCTTCCACGTTTCCACCAGCTTTCGTGCTTTCTCCTTGATTTCCAGGTTCTTGTGGCTCTTGAGATTGTTGACGGACTTGCCAACCTGACACCTCAGAGCCTGCAAATCCACGGGCAGCTTCTCCAGCGCCGACAGTATCGTCAGCAGCAGCTCCTCAACACCCTTGATCGCCTCTCTCGGGCTTTCCCCGTCACCGCTCTTCCCCTTGTAAGCTTCCTGGAGCCACTCGTGAAACAAAGCCACCCCTCCCAGCTGCACAAATCGGTCCAAGTACTCGTGGTTCTCAGTCGCGAGAATGGCTGCTGAGAGGACAGTCCTTTTGTTGGCGCAGTACGCCGGTTTCTTCGACCCGTCACTTCGGTCCTGCTGCATGGCTGTGACGAGCTTTTCAACACTGGCAACGCTTGTAAGGCCATCCTTGTCAATGCCACCAAACTCCTCTACGGTTTGATCGCTCTTGGAGTCACCATCCTCCAGATTTACGGACCTTTCTCGCTTGTTTGCCTCATTGGAGCTCTCAATTCTCTCCCTCTTCTTGCTCTTGTTGGGTGTGAGCGAGCCCCCGGCATTTTGTGAAGCATCGAGCTTTGGTTGCGAGGGGCTTGAAGTGGACTTTGATGGCGCTCCCCCTCCTTGCACAGTCGCAGTGTGCATCTCAAAGGGCTTCTACGCTCTTCGTCCTGTCAAAAGGTTCAAGAGCACGAGACTAAGACTAGGAACAAAGGCCTCTAGATCTTTAGAAATTACTCTTACCTCCTAGAAACCGCTCAAATCATAGCCGACGAATCGAGAAATCTCATCGAACTGGTGCCACATTTTCCTAGCAGCAACGCAGGCAGCCCGGCTCCCCTTTCCAGAAATTTTGACCTGGTCTAGCTAGAACCATGGCGATCTAAGCCAAATCCCATGCCGCGACGAGGAGCAGCGCCAGCAGCAACGATTCTAGCGACCTAAGAACTTGCCTCGGACTGATCAAACAATCCAAAATTTCCGCCCGCTAGCTCGGCGCCGTGGCTCCGCCCCTCCCAATCGCGCCACCAAGCCTCTCACGCTCACCTCCTGCAAACCCTGGGGATCGCCATAGCCGCCCCTCCAACAACAAAGAAACCACAGCACAGAGAAACAAATAAGTGAAAGCGATGAATGGAGCGTGCGATGATGCCTGTCATCACGGGTGAAGGGTGAAGGGGGCGACGGGCAACGCATATTCTGTGAGGGTCCCCACACCGCCCCGCGAACATTCCGTCAGTTGCCCAGGTGGGACCTACGAGCTTGTCGGAAGGGCCCTTGCACATAAAGGCCGGGGAGCAGGTACCGTCCTCACAGGTTGGTCGGGCTGACGCGGCAGCCGGGCCAGTAAAAAATAAAAATAAAACGCCAGTGCTGCTGTGCGCTGCGATGTACCGCTCCGGTTACTGCAGTAACAGTTGTGTTGGCAGGGGTGAAAATGGCCTACCTGTAGCGATGCTGACAGGTGCTGCCACGCCACTGCCCCCGTCACATCCTCGCCCTCCGATGTGACGCTACTTTCGCTTGTTCGTACAAGTGTACCAGTCCCAGAGTTTGTGGGCCAGTGGCGGCAGGGGAAGTACTTGGCGTACGGACGCGCCGGCGAGCGACACCAGGTTCGAATCATCCCAAAGGCGCCGTCCCTGTCGGCTAGTTCTCGCTCGCGTTAGAATCGAACCCAGCACCACATGCGTGGCTTTGTACGGTGCATGTGTACGGCGCTTATTTAGGGTTTAGGCGAGGTCTACGATGGAATCGAGGAGCGAATCTTCTGTTCGTCGCGAGAATGCGTCAAATGCGCGTCCGTGGTAGGGTTTCCGCGCGCTTCTCCGCCTTCTTAGCAAGGCATCGCTCGAGCTTCTCCATCGCGCGGCGGCGACGGCGGCCAGGTAACGAATTTCGTCGCGCGTGGGAAGGGAATGGTGCAGAGGAGGGCAAGTCGGGGCGGGATGGCGCCATTGTCGGCGAGAAATCCATTCGATTCCGAGGAGGAGCCATCGCCGCCTCCTGCCAGTGCGCCGTATAGAAATCCTTTCGATGGCGACGAGATTGAGCAGCAGCAGCGGCCCCGAAAGGTTACGTTTAAATCTAGTGAAAAGTCCAACGAAGAGCCAAGGAAGTCTAAGGAAGAGCCAAAGAGCAACCCTTTTGACGACGAAGGGATGTGGAACAAGAGGCACGAGAATTCACGCCGGCCGGCTGCTACTGCTGCTTCTACTGCTTCGCCATCGCCACCCAAGGAGCACGGCCGAAGCGATGGAGCGGCGACCAAGCACAGTGACGAGGCCAAGCAGAGGCGCAGGGACAGAGTCAAGGAGAAGCTCTCCACCATGTCCGACGACGTGGGTAACTTGGTGAAGCCGCGATCCAGGAATCTCATGGGAGGCAACAACAACCACAACCGGCAGCTTTTGTTTGAGGAGGATGGATCCACCAGCGCTGTCATCCAGAACGAGCAGAGGAAATTCACGCAGGCTCGGATCGTGAGGGGCATCAAAGCTGGCGATTCTCTGGAGGGCGAGAGCGTGCAGGAGCTGGAAGATTACGCCGTTCAAAAGGCCGAGGAGACCACGGTTGCCACTTACAAAGCTCTCAAGCTTGCCGAGGAGATCAAGGAGAGCGCTACGAATACGTCGGTGATGCTTCACGAGCAGGGTCACCAGATTACTCGCACTCACGAAACTGCTGTAGACATCGATCACGCACTTAGCCGGGTCAGTATGACTTCTATCTTGATTTCTCTTAGCCATCAGTCTTGAAATTTTCTTTGGATTCCAGGGTGAGAAGCTCCTCGGCAGTCTTGGAGGCCTCTTTTCGAAGACCTGGAAGCCAAAGAAGGCTCGCAACATAACGGGACCGATGCTTTCTCGAGGTAAGAGCTTTATTTCATGGCTGCTACCGTTTGCTAAAATCGCGGATGGAAAATCAACAGGAGATTCGTTCAAGAGAAAAGCCTACGGTATGGAGCAAAGAGCCGCTTTGGGATTGAACCGGAGTAACTCCAAAGGCAAGACTCGCCACACGGCAGCCGTTGCCGACTCGTCGGGATCTCAAGCTCAGACTCGCATCACGGTTTGTTCGTCCTTTGTCGATTTGATGCTCACCTCACCGTTTGCGTTTGTAGAATGAGTTTGCGAAGCAGGACGAAGCGCTGTCAGACTTGAGCAACGTTCTTGGCCAGCTCAAAGAGATGACTATAGACATGGGATCGGAGATAGGACGGTGAGTAGCAAACTAGCTTCTATGCTTTCCGAACTTATGCTCTTTTATCTACTGGATTTGCAGCCAAACCGATGCTCTCGGTCACGTCGAGGACGATGTTGGCGAGCTTGGCAGCCGTGTCAGGGGTGCCAACGAAAGAGGCCGGAGGCTACTGGGAAGATAAGTCGAGAGAAGTACTCGCTAACTCTATGTACATACAAGGATTGATCGAATAATTCACGCGTTACTCTTTGTGCCAGTCGCCGGGATCATAGTCTAGACGGAAGAATCGATGCAGGATGAGCTCGTTCACCTTTGCTGGATGAAATGGCCAGCGCCTGGAACGACAGTAACTTACCGGAGATTTGGAACGAATTTGCGAAGATTGTTGCTGTGCATGAACTCCTTGGTTCCAGGGAAGCCGTAAACCACGTCCTTGTGTCGCTGGAGTTTGGATGCGAGCTCCTGTCCATGGAGATGAAGGCCTCCACGATCTGCACGTAAACATCAGCTTTTTTTCCTTCTTTTTTTTTTCCCATGGCAGCGAAAGTGATCTCAAAGTGGATCGTGACTAGTCTGTGGCTCTGTAGTAATCTAGTGGTGGTGTGAATCCCGATTTCTCGTGCTGGAGAGCGTAGTAAGTGATGTGTTCCTCTCCCGTCAAAGCGCTGTCTTTTGGAGCAATCATTCCTCTCCGGGACGATCCCAGCAAAGTTTTTTTTGTGTTTTGATAAGAGAAGAAGAAAATGTGAGAGATAGAATTCTTTTCCAACCGGCGCTGGACGGGTCCACGCGATGATCGCTCCCCAATCGTGGCCGACAAGAACAACCTGATCGAGGAACCAAAAGACATAGGAAAGCCAACGAGGTCGTCAAACACCGTTAGTGTTGCCATAGCCAAAGCGGGCCAGCCATGGAGCAGCAACACCACTATCGAGTGAGTGAAGCATTTGTGGATTAGCTTGCATCAGTTTACACTATACAATTGATTTCACTTTTCAATAGTACCATATCCTTTTATCTTTGCGATCCTCACCCAAAGTCAGGGTCAAAAAGAAGTTGGAGACATGTTCACGATGTCGCCATGCAAGTAATGGGAAATCCACCACCATTTCTTTTGGCGGTGGATTTCCCATTACTTGCATGTAATGGGCTGTGTGTTTGTAGCCAAGAACTCTATTCACACAGCTGCCCACCTTTAACACATTGACTGATCTTTCATGAATGTATCTATCTAAAGTAAGATATAACAAGACAAAAATAATAAGAATTATCAATGATTGATATAATTTCAACTCAAATCTAATAAATAACTAACAATTTTAATCAATCACTAATTCTTCCTTTTGCTAAACTTTGTCCAGTGTGTTACAAACATAGCTTCTCTCTCTGCTAGGAACAGTGGAGTGTGGCTAGAAAGAACACTTTCCTCCTCTCACAAGTTGCACGAGTTCAACTTCCAGATTTTTGCCTAGACCTGTGTCCCAGGATCCGGGGCTGGGGCACACTTCCAATTGTTTTCCTTGAAACTGAACGCCTCACCTCCTCGCTTGTGCTTACTGCGCCCGGTTCCAGCTTGAGGTACGTTGCTTGACAGTGTGTGTTCCACCCCACCACCATGTCCAGCATCTTCTTGATCTTGGAGTCGTAGATTGGTTGCAAACCCCATCCCGATGTATGCTGTGGCAACCAAGGGGCTGTTGACGCTCGTCCAGTGGGAGTTTTCCGTTACTAGATTGCTTCTTGATCTTTAAAATGCACTGCTGCCTCCTTCTGGGTGGTGACGGATGATTGTAGAGCAAGCCAGTATGTGCCCTTAATCTTCACGGTTGGAGCGTTCGACTTGTGATGATCTAGCTAATTGCAAGCCTTGATAGATTTGATAGATAATATTTGGAAGGGTCAATGGTTCACCTTGCCAACCTGCGTAGCATTGCGGGCAATTTAGGCAAACAAAATAATAAGGTCTCTTTTTTAAACTCTCTATAAAGATGGACCATTTTGTGCCACTGGAACAAAATCAATTGTGCCTAACTCTCCACTTTAGACACCCTGCCCTGTGTTTTCCAGATCGCTTGCTCTCTTTAACGAAGACAAAAAATTTGTCCTGGAACTTACGCGTGCAACGAGACAATGTAAAAGATCCAGTGTGTTTCGTGTCGTGTGTTCTTGATTGGTTTGCCGAGCACTCGAGAGGAGAAAAAAGGAGCGAGATTTTTTTTTTGGGAGGAGTGGAGTTTCGATACTGATCGATCCGAGAGATATATTTCATGTTTCGATGCTTCAAGAGACACTCCAAGTTGGCGTTGGAAGATCTAGCTACCAAACTTTTGTTAACCTCATTTTGTTTAATATTAAACTATATTTCAAATAGTTTTTTGGATAAAAGAACATCACTCATTTTTTCGACAATAGAGTTTTGTGCAGATTCCATTCCTCATGGATATGAAACCAAGGATGGCAAACAACCTCATCCAAAGTGATGCGCTCTTCCGGATCAAACGCTAACATCCTGTGCAGAAGATCAATCACTTCGATGGACATATTCGCAAGCTCAATCTCATCGCAGTCCAGGAAATACGTCTCCCTTTTCTCCACCATCTCTTTCATCATCCACAAACGGCGTCGCATCGGCATCGCTGCTCAAATGGCGCAGCTTCCCGAGCAAGGCGTACCGCAGCGTCATGCCCAAGCTCCAAACATCCGCTGCTGGCGTGTAGATCCCATCAAACATAACCTCGGGAGCGGGGGTTCCAACAAAATCCATCTCCCACGGCTTGTGAGCGTCGCAAGCCAGGCCAAAGTCCGCCAACTTTGCGTCGAGCTCCCGGCTGAGGAGAATGTTGGCGGGCTTGATGTCGCAGTGGATGACCCCGTTTCTATGGATCTCCCGGAGGCCCTTGGCGACCGTAAAGAATATCCTCGCCGTGGTTGGCTCCGCGAACTTCACACCCAGGTCGAGGCTGCAGGCGCACAGTTCCATGACGATGTGGGTCTTAGGGTTACCACCTTCGCCGCGTTTTGCATCGTAATGAAGCTTGGGTTTAGACAATAACTTCAATATGATTAAAATGTAAAAGCTTACCTCTACAATGAGAGTTTGGGGACCTTCATGACACCGTCGTTCACCCTGTCCCCGGCTTTGAGCATCACAAGCGCCTCTTTGGAGCCGCCGCCACTCACGGTCTTGATTGCGAACTCTTGGCCATCGCTCCTCCTCGTAGCCTTGAAAACCACACCGCCTCTTCCACAGCCCAGGAGAGACCCCAACTCGTAGCGTCGCTCTGAAGCGCTGGGCTTCGTTTCTACGTCACCTTGATGCACAAGTTTGCGTCGTTTCTTTTCCCTCTCCATCTCCACAGCTTCAGCCCTGGTCCTCGTTCGGATCCACATTGCCTGAAAGAAAAAAAAAAAAACCTATGGAAAAAAAAATGAGGATCTTTTTTATACATTAAAAGGCTATCACCACCTCAATATAGAAAAACATATCTTTTTAGGGTTCTTCATAGGACGAACATGATGCTGTAAGTACTCACTAACTCTGTAGCGTTATTCTTGTGGTACTCGCCTGGATCATAGTCTAGACGGAAGGATTGACGCGAGAAAGCGCAGGATAAGCTCGTTCACCTCGGCATGCTTTTGCTGCTGGATGAAATGGCCAGCGCCTGGAACGACAGTAACTCCCCGGAGATTTGGAACGAACTTGCGGAACTTGTCGCTGTGAATGAACTCTTTGGTTCCAGGGAAGCCGTAAACCACGTCCTTGTCTCCAGTGATGAAAATCGCTGGAGTTTGGATGCGAGCTCCTGTCCACGGAGACGAAAGCCTCCACGATCTGCACGTAAACACCAGCTCTTCTTTTTTTCCACGACGCGAAAGAGATCTTCGTGACTTACAAGTCCGTGGCTCTGTAGTAATTTAGTGGTGGTGTGAATCCCGATTTCTCGAACTGGAGAGCGTAGTACTCGATGTCTTCCTCGGTTAACCACGGTGGTAGCTTATCCGGGACTCTGAAAATGTCAAAGAGTTCCTTGTCTTTTGGAGCTATCATTCCTCTCCCGGATGATCCCAGCAAAGTTTTGAGCACTGCCTTGGTTCCATGACGAGCAAAATCAGCCTCGGCCCTACCAGGTTCCTGGGATTCTTGTCACTGTTTTGATCGGAGAAGAAGAAAACCTGGGGGAGCGATACCTGGAAGCGGCAGTAGTAGAATCCTTCTCCAATCAGCTTCTCAAAGCGCTGGACGGGACTTATGTGTGGATTTCTCGGCGAGAAAGGAACGCTGAGAGCCACGATCCCCTTGACCCTCTCCGGCCTTAGCATGCAAAAGTTCCACGCGATGATCGCGCCCCAATCGTGGCCGACGAGAACAGCCTACCAGAAAAAAAAAAATTCGCTGCAACACATGCCACAGGAAAACCAAAACCTTGCTTCTCCACGCTACCTGGTCTTGCTGGAGGAAATCCAAGAGGCCAACGAGGTCGCCCACGACGTCAAACACAGTGTAGTGTTGGATTCCAAGCGGCGCATCGGATTGGCCATAGCCACGCAGGTCGGGAGCGATGGCGCGGTAGCCAGCGGCTGCCAAGGCGGGCATTTGGTAGCGCCACGAGTACCAAATCTCGGGGAAGCCATGGAGCAGCAGCACCGCTGGCCCTGATTTTTGTCACAGTCGCACGATCGAATCGATAAATGTTGATCAAAGAAAATTGAAGCTACCTGATCCTAGCTGCGCGACATGGATGCAGATACCATTCGTCTCCACCACGCTGTGCTCGATGGCTTCGGCCATAGCTAGAGAAAATAATAAAACAATTAGGGCTACTTGGCATTTTGTGAAAACGATTATTTTAATTCATACTTCCGTACGAATTGCTGCATTAAAGTGGAACATGAATAAGGTAATTGCTAATATATACATCAGATTTTTTTTTCTCATGGTTACGAAGCATCCTGAAAATGTGGTAGTATACAAATTATATTTAACTTACATATATAGATATCGAACGCCAGACCATCCATGGTATAGTAGCATGAGATTTCACCGATTTAACTGTTGTTCCTCTCAAGCCAGCTCCGCCGCTGGTCCCATTGCTGCGGGGCCTCCTCGCTCGAGCAAAGCCACCGCCAGTTCCTGCTCGTGCCACAGCCTCAGTCCCCTCGCCAGCCGCTTCAAAACGTCGAGCTTGACGTCGAGGATCCAGTTTGGAGTGGAGCTCACGAGCAGTGCTATGAATCCCGTCAAGTAGGCCTTCCACGTAGCGCGGCCGCAACCGAGAGCAATCTTTCCATCCAAGGCCGATGCCAGGAACTCCATATGAGAGCCGAGAACTCGGCGGCGTCGAGTCCTGTGCGAGGTCTTGGTGGAAGTGGACGAGATCCCCCAGACAAGAGCGCCGGAGAGCAGAGCAAAGTGTGCCACTGCGTAGCCTTCTACCAGGCTTCCATCACCGCTGCCGCTGCTGGTGGAGGAGGAGCTTTCTTCCGGATTACCACCAGCTAGAAACCACGCAGGTAGACTCTCCGAGTAGAGTGTCTGGACAAGAGTCGAGCCGCCCGAGATGTGAAGTAAGCTTGCTCCCAGAGTCGATGCCTGGAACACCCGAGACATGGCGCTCGCGCACGAAATTTTTGACGTCGTTCCTTTGGCTGCTGTGAGGTCCCGCGCGGCTTTCACCACCAGGAACAGAATCTCGTCCGTGACGAACATGATCTCGTGAAGGGCCGGATAGATTCCCAGGTAGAGGATTCCTGGTGCCAGTGGATACTGGCCGCCTTGCATACCACCGTGTCCAAGGAGAGCTCCAACGCCACCGTGAACTTGGAGCTTGGACATCAGGGTTCCCGTGGTTCCGGTTGTCACCGCGAAGCAGCTCCGGAGCAGCTGCTTCACTGCGTTCTTGTCCTGCTTGAACACGGTGCGAGAGGCACCGAAGACGATGAAGCTGTGCCACCGTTTCACCTTTTGAGCCCAGAGTGCTGCTACCACTGGCATGCTCGGCCACGGGCTGCCTCCTGCTGTGCTCTCGAGAGCTGGCCCAGCGACGCCGAGAACTAGTTCCGAGGACTTATCCTGCCTGAAAGTTATTGTCAGGCTTAGAAATGCTGCGAGCGGTAACGGAAGTGACACTGGAGCATTGCCACCCAGCGAGCCTTGCAAAAACAAAAGAGAAGAGGTTGTTAGATACATCAATGAAACTGTTAGAAGCTTTCTTACCTGTAACAAGATTAGGCACTTGCACTCCAGTAGCTGCAAGGATCTCTTTTATCTCAGCTTCGACGGAGAGAAGGTTGGCAGCTGGACTAGGCCAATCATTTCCATTCATAGAAGCATATTTCCATAAACCGCGAGTCACCTCTGCTGTGAAGTAGCTGACAATGGTAGCTATGGAAGCTGGAAGAAAATCTACGAGGTCCCGAAGTCCTGCATGATTGGAAATACGAAAAATTAAAACCATAGCAAGTTTAACGAAACGAACCTGTAGTTAGATCTTTGGATGACAGTCTCCCATGGCCGCAGGCTGTAAGTACCGCGTCTAGTACGAAAGGCACAGAGGTCATGATCTCCCATGCTGGAAGCATGGGTCGAGCTGACGTCTCATCAGGAGCAGCCGCTTTGATTCTCTTAAACATCATATTCAGGAGCCTGTCAGCGTTTTGATGCACTGGATTGCCCGATCCAGAGAGCCCGGAAAGAGTAGACGCAACGCATGCTTGGTTCTGTGTGTACCACGCCTTGAGCTTTGGAAAGGAATCTAGCTTCACATGATGCACAGGCTGGGTGCCTTGCGAAGATAACGCCAAGTTCCGAAGTTGAAGGATATAGTCCAAGCTTAAATCTCCTCCAAGAGGAGACTCAAAACCAAGTAGCCGATGCTCAAGTGGAGGCCGATGAAACTTCCACAGCCGGAGGAGGAGGAGAAACGCCACCGAAAATACCATATGAGGAGATACCTCTTCCCCCGTGCTTTGAGGTGCCGGTGTCGCGGAACCAAATACCTCACATATTGGCAGCAAGGCAGCCGCTAGTTCTGGAAACTGCAAGCATTTTTAAAAAATAAGTTACGACAAGACCAGCTGATATTTATCAAACATTACCATCCCATACAGCGACAGTACGTGAACTGCATCCACTTCTGTCAGGGCCCCCAAAGCAGCTAAAAGCATGGAGGAATAATTCATCAAGGGATGACCAGATCTACTTTCAGCTGGAACTGGAGGAGACACTAAACGAACAGCTAATCGGACCGCATGTTCCTACAAAAGACACGGTAAATGAAAAAACAGCATAGACATAGAGAAAAGACAATTACCTGGATGCTCCAGCTTCTCACGAGCGAGGCCCCGCAGAGAACACTTGCCGCAGCAACTCTCTCATTTTCCGCACCGTTTATAGCTATCTGATATACCTTCTCAAGTTCTGCTACACTTTGATGTAGTGCTCCAAGTTAAGACCAGCATACAGATTGCAATATCATACCTGGATGCAGGAGTATTTATCAGCGCACCCTTCAACGGCCCAGCCAAGGACGACCCCTCCATAAAAGCAGCCCATGGCGATGACTGGGATGATCCCGAAAGCGGTATAGCTACGGCATAACCAGGCCAGAGATAAGCGGAGGCATCTAGAAGACCTCTGGATATACAAATCTCGACGATAAGGTGCCTCATGTTTCCCACTGCAAACTTATGTCGATGAGATACTCAAAGAAGACACACAAATAAATAAAACAGTTACCTGCTTTGGTGCTTCCATCGGCAGGGACATAACCGTCGCGAGTTGTCTTAATCCCCGCAACGAATGCCGATGCTTTCATGGCAGCCTGATTAGCTGCGGGAACGGCAATCGGTGGCGGGCAGAGTAGACCTTCAAACTGGCCAAGAACTTGTAAGCTTGAAACAAACGCTGCTCGGCGACCTCTTTCACTATCGTCAACCCGCGAGATATTGTACTGCTGAGAGTTTTCTTCCTCCTCTATAACAGCTGCTGAAGCTAACGGGACAATAGATAATAACATGCAAAGCCGAGACTCTACGTGCGGTCTTGGCCCTTCAACATGTTCGCGTTCCTGTAAGTTGCGGCTTGTTATGATAGAGGCACGCGAGCAATAAGACGGAAAATCTTACCCGGTTTACGTGCCGAAGACCCGCAATCCAGAGCCCCAAGAATACATCATGCCACGAAGCACCTTGAACTGCCCGAAGTGACTTGATTAAATCTGACATCACAAGACAACTTATGGTTTGCCAAGAACGAAAATGTCAAAAAGAAGAATACCTGCAAGAGCTTCTGCAGTGGAAGACGCGGGAACTCTCCTTCCTTCCAAAGCGTCCTCCATGAAAATATCGAAAGGAAGCCACGGCGCTGTACGGCCAGTTCCCCAATAGTTTCCAAACACCGACATGGAAGTGTTCGTGTCCAGCAAGACCTTGTACACAACTCGACGGTTGCTTTGTTCTTGGACCAAGCCTTGCTGAATGGCAGCAGCTAAGCGTGCAAAGAGCTCTCCGGTTTCTCTTGGAGCTCCTAACGTCGTATCGCGTATAATCACTTCGAGAAACTTTAGCTTCTGGACAAACAAACCCCACTGCTCCGATCTGCAACAAGAAATTAAAATCGTGGAGCAAATGCAAACGTGAAGCACTTACAAGTTTCTCCGAGCAAGCCTCAGCAGTACGGAGGTTTTCTTGTGATGGAGAAAATTGGTGACAAGCTCAAGGGCCCTCAAGCTGTTACCTCTCGCCTGCTCTGACTCTTCCTGTCGTCTCCTTCCAAAATCATCGTCAAAGTCATTCACTGTTAAATAACTTCCAGCTGGTTTACTTGGAGAGCTCAACGCCATAGACCAATCCTCGGCTGTTGCATCGACAAGACGGCAGCACAGCGCTAGTATAAACTGTACAGCCACGGTGCCAAGTTCTTTCGGAGCGTCGCCATTAAAAGGAAGCTCCAATATCTCTAGGATGCTCTTCAGTGATCTACAGGCAAGGGAAAAAAAAGAAGAAGAAAAGCTCAACACTTCTCGTCAAAACATGATAAAAACAAAGAGAAAACTTGCCTCTCAGTACTGGAGACCGTAGTTCTCAGAGAAAGAGTAAAAGCATAAGTGTCGAGGAGATTGAGGAACATCATATAAGTCTCTGGCTGTTGTTGGCGCACTGGAATTACCCTGCATTCGAAAGAAAAATCTAGTGTCAGCCAGATCACTGGAGCAATGAGAACTCGCTAGTAGCGAAACTACAAACAATCTATTTCTTAGCTCGATCACACTTACTTGGCGGCGAGAAGCGATAGCATATGCATCGGGAACACGAGCCCGGAAGCAATGCTTTGATCCACAAAGGGCATGAGCTGCGGCGATGGAACGTCGGCGACCATGGCCTTCGCCAAATCCAAGGACGGCATCGACACCCCGGCGCCATGCATTACCGAGCAGGCACTCACCGCCCAGGGCAATGGCGACTCCAGCCTCTCGGCGGCAGTGCGCGCGAGCTCTGCGGCCCTCTCCGCCATCGCTCCGCCCAGGCGCTAGAAACCTAAACGCATATTCCCCAGCCACAGCTCCTCTCATTTCTTGGACGATGCTTCCCCAGGCAATGGCGATGGCTGCGCGATGAAGCTAGGGCTTTCCTCGCCGGCCATGATCACGCACACCCGCGGTGGAGGATGATGCTGCGGCTGCTCGATCTGCGGTGGCGCCGGAGCGAGAATCCCGTGCTGCGACTCGAAGATCGCGGCGCCAAGGGCCAGATTATTGAGCGGCTGGATCATCACGCGCCGCTGCTGCTCCTCCATCTGGCGTAGATCCTCGCCATGGCCACCGCCGCCGCCGCGCATCGTGAGCATCATCTGTTGGAGCTGCCGCCGTCGATTTTGGTGGTAGAGGCAGCAGCAGCGGATCGTCATGTAGGCCAGGACGACGATGAAGAGCGTGGCGACGCTGGTCACCAGGTACGCCAAGAGCGGATGCTCCGCGGCGCCACACCGGGTCGCCGTGATCCACCAGGACGAGAAGCAATTCCGATCGGGCGGGGGCATTGCCGCTGCTAGCGATTGATTCTTGGCAGCGGCGCGCGGCGTCCAGATCTATCGATCGATAGGCTTCTTCCTCAAGCTCTCAAGAATATCGCAAGAACTCGCGCATCGCATCGATCGAGTTTCTCCCTGGCGACATTCACAGCACACACAGCTAGGGAATATTCGTCGCTTAGGGGAGCGCCACGTAAGAGAGAGGGCTAGGGGCACTGGCGATTCATTCGCTAGTGAGAGGAGCTTGTATTTTAGGGTTCTTCGGCCGCGATGGCGTGCACGGAGCCGGGGGGATCGTCCTGGCACGGGGGGTGGAGTGCCGGCAGCAGCCCAGGTAAGTGCGACGACGGCATCGATGAATCGCCGCATTTTCTCCACAAGATTGGCGAGGACCAGGACAAGAGCCCAGCTGAGACCCTGTCCGGGAAGAGGAGGAGAAGCCGATGGGAGCCTAACGAGGCCGCGGGTCCGGGCGAGCAGCAGGAGGGCAGAGGAGGGACGCCGGCCCCCAAGAAGAGGAAATCCCGCTGGGCTGCCGAGGAGAGCTCGTCCAAGACGCTCTTTCCCAACGTGAATTTGCCCAATTTCATGACGGGCATCGAGCTGGATCCCGAAATGCAGCTTCTCAACATCAAGCTGCTGGAGCTGAGCAAGCGCCTCCAGATCGGGCAGCTGTTCGAGGAGAGGTCCGAGGGGCCGAGGTCGCCCAGCCCGGAGCCCATCTACGACAACATGGGCATCAGGATCAACACGCGGGAGTTTCGTGCCCGGGAGAAGCTGACCAAGGAAAGGCACGAACTGATTGCACAGATGATCAAGAGGAACCCCCAGTTCAAGCCGCCGCCGGACTACAAGCCTCCAAAGCTCCAGAAGAAGCTCTTCATCCCGGCGAAGGACTACCCGGGCTACAACTTCATCGGGCTCATCATCGGTCCCCGGGGAAACACACAGAAGAGAATGGAGAAGGAGACCGGCGCCAAGATCGTCATCCGAGGCAAGGGCTCGGTCAAGGAAGGGCGGACGCAGCAGAAGCGCGACGTGAAGCCAGATCCCAGCGAGAACGAAGACTTGCACGTACTCGTGGAGGCGGACAGCCAGGAAGCTCTGGAGGCCGCGGCGGGGATGGTGGAGAAGCTGCTCCAGCCGGTGGAGGAAGGCATGAACGAGCACAAGCGCGCGCAGCTGAGGGAGCTTGCGGCGCTCAACGGGACCATCCGGGACGACGAGAGCTGCCGGAACTGCGGACAGCTCGGGCACCGGCAGTACTGCTGCCCGGAGAAGAATACCACTTTCAAGGCCGGGGTGGTGTGCGCGAAGTGTGGCGATGGCGGCCACCCGACGAGCGACTGCCGGCAGCAAGGCGGCGCTTCGAACAAGATGGACGGGGAGTACCAGAAGTTCTTGGTGGAAGTGAACGCGGATGGAATGGGGGGAGAGTCGTCATCGTCCTCGGTGGGCCGGCACTCCGGGGGCTCGACGCTGCTGCTCGGTGGAGGGTCAAACGGAGCGAGTGAAGGTGGTGGAAGCGGTGGTAGCGGCGCCGCCACCACCAGCAGGGCCGCCAAGGAATCCGACGACACCAACTTGTACGTGGGCTACTTGCCGCCAAACTACGACGATGAGTCCCTGCGGAGCCTCTTCTGCCCGTTCGGCCAGATCGAGGAGGTGAAAGTGATCCGGGACAGGAACACCGGCGCGAGCAAAGGCTATGGCTTCGTCAAGTTCTGCGACGCTGCGTGTGCCGTCCAGGCCGTGCACCACATGAACGGCTGGAAGGTGGAGGACAAAACTCTGGCGGTGAGAGTCGCGGGGAGGCCCCCGGTGGCGGCGGCGCCCATGGCGGCGGGGTATGGAACTGACGCAGCCGGGTTTCCAATCTATCCGCCGCTCCAACACCACCAACACCAACACCAGCAAGTTAGTCCGGGATGGGGAGCCCCGCCGCCACCTCCTCCCATTTTCACTCCATACGCCGCCGCTCCTCAGCCGGCGTTCCCCCCGCTAGCCCCGCCTGGGACCGCGGCTCCTCCGCCAGTCTTCAACGCGTTTCACCACCACCACCACCAGCACGCTCCGCCAGGATTTGCGTTCGCCGCCGGGGCGGCCGCCAGCGCTTTGCCACCTCCGCCGCCTCCCGGGATGGATTCTTTCGAAATGCAAGGGATCCAAGCGTCCGGCGATTACTCGGGCCAGTTTGGTGGTGGCTACTATCCCCCAGTGGCGCCGCCGCCGCCGCCAGTGTTCCCTCCCTGGGCTTCCAGCGCCATGGTGTCGAGTAATGGCAATGCGAGTGGTGGCAATAGCAAGAATAACCAGGTCGAGTCGGAATATGAGAGGTTTATCTGTGAGATGAAAATGCAGCTGTAACTACTTCTTTTAATTGTTTTACTCTTTGATCTTAGAGAAATTGAATCTCCTGAGAATCGAAGGAGAGTTACCATTAAAGGAAAATGCGGGATTAGGGTTTGGAAGGTTAGGCTATGGCGAAGGCGCTGTGACGATGATTTCCCGGCTGCCCTGTGGAGCGCCTCGATGGACGGCATTGTAGCGATCCAGCAGCAGCAGCAGCAGCAGCAGCCATCGGCGGCGGTAGCGGCGGCGGCGGCGGCGCGGCGGAAGGAGTGGCGCGTCGTGTCCGAGGGCGGAGGAGGAGCGCAGCAGCAGCACCAAAAGAAGCTTTTCGAGGCTGCCGCTGTCGCTGCTCCCGCCGCTGCGAGGATGAGCCATCCACAGGTCCGGCAGCAGCAGCGCTACCCCGGCCCCTCCTCTTCCCGCCCAAGAAATGGGAGGGTCTACCCCCCTGACGCGGAGAATGTGAATTCCGACAAGCTCGCAGCTAAGAACGAGGAGGTAAGCGGCGACCTTCTTGTGGAAGATTTCTCCCGTTCTTAGTTTTTCCATCTTGTGCTTAGCATGGCGATCAAGCTCTGGAGGCCGCGGATGCCCACATTGACGATCTCCAGCACCGGTTGAGCGAGATCTCCAGGCAGCGGGAGCATCTCCAGCAAGTGGAGCTGGATCTCCAAGTCAGGTTCTTTGCGCGGAACGAGATTTTGAGACTGCAAGCCAGTTTCGACGAGCAAGCCAAGCAGCACAATGAGATCGTCAGTGGCCTCCAGGTGCGTGGTTTTCTTTTTTCGTCTCTGCTTTCCTAAAGAGTATGTCTTTAGGAACAACTACATCAAAGAGAGGAGCAAATGCAAGAGATGCAACAACACTCAGAGGAAAGAGAGCGGCAGCTTCAAATGGAAGCCAACGATGTAAGGAACCAGGTAAGCTCTCTAGATAATTCTCTTTCATGCCTAGCTATACAATACTGGAATCCATATAGGTCTGGGCGAAGGACGCACTTATCAGGGACCAAACAAATGAATTGGCTACATTGAGGTAAACAAGGTGATTGCAGCGAACGTTGTGTGAAAAATGTAGCCCATGATTTTTTTCTTTCTTCTTTTTCTTTTTTCTTTGGCTTTTTCGTTTACTCCAGGCGTGAACGTGACAATGCGTTGGCTGAGAACAAGTCTAATACTGCCCAACTGGATGCTGAAAGGGCCGACCACCATGCTGAAGTGGAAAGTTTGAAAGAGCAGATTCGCGACAAAGAACGCCGTCTTCAGGAGCTAGAGGAACAGGTTAGCACCGATCCTTAAACGCACTCTTCCAGGATTGAATGAAGTTTGAGATTTTCAGGATATCTTGTTTCCGAATGATAAACAGCTCAGGGACGCGCAGCTTTGGATGGCTCGTTCGCAGGAGCTGGAAGCATATCACATGAACGCAATCCATGCTGAGCTTCGGGAGCGGACAGAGCAAATGACGCAGTTGTGGGTTAGCTGCCAACGTCAGGTCTGAAACTTTTTTCTTTTGCAGTTCGTGCTGAACTCACGTCACTAAACTTGACAGGTATCAGACGTTGAGCGCTACTATCAACAAGTGATCCAAAAGCTGCAGCAGGACTTAGAAACGAATCATTTTGTAAGGAACAAAGAGATGACAATCGATGGCAGTGGAATGCGAGGCTCAAAGGCTATTGAGCAAGGGATGGCTTTTCACCATAAGTTGCCCGTAATACACATGGAGGGTGCATTTCCTATGATGATCCCACCTGATGGACTACCGCCGGTTTGTGTTTGTTAGCTAAAGCTGTGCTCATACAAAGTTCCTTTCCTATCAGGTTGAGCACGCAACAGGTCTGCCTGTCCTTACAGCTCCAGTTTTAGGAATGACATCTGTTGTACCTCCGTCTCCTAGTATTCCTCAATATGGTGCGGTTCAGCCAGTGTCGACCATGCCGTTTCCTCAGCCTGTGCCTGTGCTGATCTCGCAACGACCACCGATGAAGCATCAGCAGGTTTTTACAAACTTGGATTTTTGTTACGTGGTTTTAAACTCGTTTTCTTCCAGCCAGGAGCAATATACCATCCCTCCCAGATTGTCCAGCGGCAACAACGTCCGATCGAACAGAAGCATGCACAAAGCTCTTCAGAAGAGTCCAATCCACAGCTGAAGGTGAATGAGGTGGAGCAGCCAAGCATGGAGCAAGAAAGGAGTCAAATGGAGAAAATGTTCTCCGGGTTATCCTCTCAGAGGCATCCTTACATGGATCGGGAAGAAGTGACCGTCGAGATGGCACCACCAAAGCAACAGGGCATTCACTGTGCAAGCTTCAATTCTGTCATTGAACGAAGCAAAAGTTCACCACACGTGAACAGCAAGACAGAACAATCGGCAGCACAGCCCCTCGAAAACGGACACCAAGTGGCGGTAAAGGTAGCAAAAGACTTTTCTCGGGCCTTCATTTCTTTAATTTCATTTCCGTAATGGCGAACTTTTCCAGACACGCGACTTGGAACAAAGCCATGAAGATGGTCCTGTCCGCGAAGAAGCTTCTGTTTCTGTTTCATCCGGGAGTACATCGGAGGCAAACGGCAGCATTTCCGATTTACATCTGATGGACAGAGACTCTCTGCTGGCTTGCTTGGTCAGAGTCATACCGGCCGAACCGAGCGCTAAAATCCGAATCAGCACGACTGTAAGCTTTGTCTCGTATCCGTTATCGTTTTGTCTGATCATATGTTCTATCGTGTTCCAGTTACCAAATCGTCTGGCAAAAGTGCTCGCTCCGCTGCACTGGCATGACTATCGCAAACACTACGGACGCCTCGGCGAGTTTGTGGAGGCTCATTCTCAGGTAACCATGCAAAGTTTTGGTTTTCCTTGGTGGCCACAGTGGATTGACGTGAAAGCTGCCGCAGCTGTTTGTCGTGGAAGGGGACTACGTTTTCCTTCGAGAAGGCGCTCACGCCATCGTCTCGGCCACCACCGCGGTCGCCAAAGCCGCAGCAGCCGTGCCTTCGTCGAGAACAGTCCAAGCTCCAACAGTGGCCTTGACACCGGTAGCACAAGCTCAGTCGCAGCGTTCCAGAAGCTCTAAAGCTCTCAACGCGGACTCGACTTCGTCGTCGTCGTCGACGAGTTCTCCCCAAGAGAAACGGCGAGAGACCAACCCAGCTCTCGCGTCCAAGGCCAACGGGAACTACGCGAGTGCCAGGAGTGTAAACTCGACAGTGGACGAGAAACGCTCTGGATCGTTCAAGGAGAATGGTGGGCACAGCTCAAACGGCTATGGAAACGGTGTTCTTGACGGCTACGTGAACTACAACGCTGCTACCACTGCGTACTTCAAGAACAGGTTCGTCAAGAAAAAGTTCTTTCGATCGATTCTCTCGCTTTTCATCCTTTTCTTTTCCAGAGATGGAGAAATTGGTGCTCGTCCTCAAACCCAGGAAGGTCGGATTCTAGAGACGGTGTAGTTAACCGAAATTCTTACACGCGTTTTTTTTTTTTCCTTCGTTATTTTGTGTGGTTTTTTCTCTTTTTTGAAAGCTCGAATATTCGTGGGGAATGATTCGTTTGGAAGGAAAGGGGAATATCGTTGTTACGACTATTTTGGTTATAGTTAGTATTTATCTGGTCTGTCGCGAAAAGCGCATTTCGAGGGTTTTTGGTGCTGGCGATCTAGCTGGAAGCGCGCAATCTCGCGCAGCTGGGAGCGCGCGGGCAATCGATCGACTCAGGGAGGCCGGATTTCGCGAGCGGTAGGGTTTTGGCAGAGTAGGAGTTGTAGGGCAGAAAGAAAGAGGAGGAGGAAGCCGCCTTAGGGTTTTTGCAAAGGAATTGGTGCGCAGGAAGGTAGAATGGTGAGGACAGCATGCTGGATTTCTCCCTGGAAATTGGAGGGCCGGCATGGAAGTGGTCAGTGATCAGGATGTGGAGGCGTCGTCTGTGCAAGCGATGGTATGCCGGATACTTCCTGTGCCACAGGAAAGTTTTGGTGCATGAATGAATGAATGAGAGGAATGGCTGCTTCTTCCAACACGCCTTCCAGCGCTGGAGGAGGGGGAGGAGGAGGAGGAGGAGGAGGACGTACGCACTTCAAGACACCCGAGGGACGCTACAAATTGTCGAGAGAAAAGAGCCATCCTTCCGGCCTCCTCCACTACAGTCATGGGAAAACTGTCACTCAGGTATGAGTTTCTTCGTCTTCTCTTGGTTTTCCTTTGTGCTGGCTATTGATGGTGGTTCTCTTTTCTTTCGTTTCCTTTCCAGCTTACTTTGGCTCATCTCAAGGATAAGCCGGCACAGTCGAATTCATCGACGAGTAACAGCTCGGGAAGTGGTGGTGGTGGGATGAGGTTTCCAGCTGCGGTTAGGCTCCTAGGTGCAGGGAATGGCAGTAGAGCTCTCGGTTTTGTAGGTGGTAACGGGTTTGCGAGCAAGTTTAGTGGAGGCGGGAAAACTGCAGCTACAGGAGCCGCGAGTGTGTCCGTGAGCAATGGACCGATTGTTTCCAATTTTGATGGAGAAGGCACATACGTTATATTCAACGTTGGTGATGCGATATTTATCAGCGCGTATGATACGCAGGACAAGGCAAGTTGTTCTCTCGGTTTCCATTTTGTTTCTAACTTGTGCTACAAACCTTTCTTCTTCGTTTTTTTGCTCAGGACCCAATCAAGAGTATCCATTTCAACAGTTCCAATCCTCTTTGCCATGCTTTTGACTCTGAAGCCAAGGATGGGCACGATCTGCTAATTGGCCTTAGCTCCGGAGATGGTACTCACTTTTTCTTTTCTCTATTCATACATAAAAACATTGCTTTCCAGTGTATTCCACGTCGCTAAGGCAACAATTGCAGGATCCAGGGAAGAAGTTGGTAGGTGCTATGCATTATAATAAAGATGGCGTTTTAAATAATAGGTGGGATACATGAAAGCTTTCTAACGTAGCGGCCTAAAAGTTTGTGCTTTTGCTTGGTGTTTGCAGCCGATGCACGGCGGTTGCTTGGATTCCGCATAGTGAAGGATTGTTTGTAGTGGCCCATGCTGATGGCAATCTATATGTCTACGACAAGGTCAGCTAGTTGCTATTCTTCTCTTGTTTCCTGACGCGAGTTTGCAGACGAAAGATGGTAGTGGCGATGTGTCGTTCTCCCCTGTCAAAGATCCAGCGCAGTTTTCTGTCTCTCATGCGAGATCAAGTAAGGTAAAGAGCTAAAGTTTCACGGATTCTTTGTTCTGACCCGCCAAGTTTTGCAGAGCAACCCCATTGCGAGATGGCATGTATGTCAGGGAGCTATCAACAGCCTTGCTTTCTCTTGTGATGGAACGTTTTTAGCTACTGTCGGAAGGGATGGTATGGCGGTAAAGAATTTGTGTCTCGTTTATAGCTAATGGGTGCGCGTCTATGCAGGCTACTTGAGAATATTTGATTACGCCAAGGAGCAAGTAGCCTGCGGTGGGAAGAGCTACTTTGGTGCGCTGCTATGCTGTGCCTGGAGGTAAACAGCGCTTGTGTATTTGGAATACTTTTCTTATATCTTCTCTCTTCTTTCCTCTCTCTTAGCTCGGATGGGAAGTACGTGTTGGCTGGTGGAGAGGATGATTTAGTCCAAGTCTGGAGCATGGAAGACCGGGCGGTTGTTGCCTGGGGAGAGGGTCACAATTCTTGGGTGCGTTTCGACATTTTATTTTTTATTTTCATTTGACACACTCTTTTACTACACACAGGTGAGTCAAGTCGCGTTTGATCCATACTGGACGCCGCCGGCGGACGACGGTGGCACGACAACGTATCGCTTCGGTTCCGTTGGCCAGGTAAGTGATAAAACAAGCTTCGATTCTAGCAAAATGGATACAGAACTAAGACCTCGTTGTCAACTTCGCAAGGACACACAATTACTGCTGTGGGACCTGGCAATGGACGAGGTGGTGATGCCATTCCGGAAGCTAGCAGCCCCCGGCTCATCACCGGGGGGCCTGGCCGGCTCACAGACGTCGGCCGCGCAGTACCACGATCCAACCAGTCTCCAGCCGGCCCCGCTGAGAAAGGAGGTACCAAAGCTCGCTCCCATCATGGCGCACAGGCTCCATCCGGAGCCACTGTCGGGGCTGGTGTTCACGCAGGAGTCGGTGCTCACGGCTTGCCACGAGGGGCACATCACGATCTGGGACAGGCCGGAGCAGCACGAGCAGGATGTGTCCCCCTGTAGCAACTCGGCCGACAGTGGTGCCGCTGCTACCATTGGGAGCCTTAAGGAGAGGCAACAGATCCTGTCGGCATCGTCTCCGTCGTCACAGCAGTCCCTGCTACAACAACACCATCACCACCATCATCACCACCACCATCAACAACTGTCGAATAAGAACACGGCTTCGGTGTATAAACAATGATACCTTCTTTTTTTTTTTTTCTTCCTCCACTCTCTTCTTGTCTGGAAAATAATCCTCTTTGGCATTTGTAAAGAAAAAGGAAAAAGCTCTTATTGTTGTCGTCAAAAAAATTTCTGTACAAAGAGGTCTGTACACAGTCTCTCCTGCAACCAAAAACTTCGAGATATTAGCTTGGTTGTTGTCAAGACAAGAAAGAGAAACTTACGCTACGCTCTCAAGGAGATGAGCCGTGAAACATGACGAGCTCCTCGGCATCGTCTGGTGAGGAGTTTAGATCGTTCCCGTGCTTCCACAAGTGGATCGGAGAAGGATTGCTCTCCCCTTGCGAATCCAGCTTGGCCGTAAGCATTCCGTGAATCAGCCGCAGTAGTTGGAACCGTTTTGCCGACGCCTCGGCAGGATCAAACCAGTTCACTGTGATCTGTGCAGTGCATTGCGTGTCGATAACCGAAAGGATAAGAATCAAGGACGCTTACCAGCGACAAACTGCTCTTAGACGTGAAGCATCTCTCGAGGAACAACTCGACGTAGTGCAAAAGAAACAGACCGCAGTCGTGCAGGTTGTCTTGCTGGGGTACCTGAAATCGCAATGCTATTACAGTGAAGCCTATGATACTCAAAACACGGTTACCTCCACTCTAACGAACTTGATTTGATCAAAATGATACTTACGATCCTCTTTCTCACTTGTTTTTCTCCTGTTCCATTCCTGCCAGAGGTAGCTGAAACGATGTTAGGCCCGTGAACCCATATATCCGATGAGAAATACCAACTTCCTGACAAAGGGTTCGATGTCTGAATGAAAACCCGTGAGGGAGTCAAAATGAAGAATCCTCGTAGAGACGGTGTGTAAGTCGCTATCTGCACAGTCAAAGAATAAGATATGGCGAGCCGAGAAACAGGCGTGAAAAAGTGTTACCTGTTGGAAGCATGTCACTTAGGTAGCAAATAACGAGCAAGCTCCAGTGCAAGCTGTGCAAATTAGTCCAATGTCTTAGAGAAAGGATAAAAATTTTCAGCGTACGATTACCTTCTACTCACGGGAATAAAGATGTAATCCTTCTGGAAGATGTCTTCCTTCTTTGTCCACTTTTCAAGGCGTGCAAACGCAGCCCGAGCCTCGTCAGCAGGGAGCGCACTCAAATCTACGAGCTTCGGAAAGAAAAAGCTGTTGAAAAAGTAAGTCTTCGCCTTCTCATCGTCGGACATCGTCATTTGCAAATGCCTGTCCATCAAGTCTCAGTAAGAAGAAAGTTGAGAAGAGAAGCAACTTACTTGATGTAAAAGTCTATGATGGTATCATTCAGAAACGCCGAAGGTCGAAGCAAGTCAATGTCATTGCTTGTTATCGTCACTGGATCAGGATCATCTTGTGGATACACAAGAGAATGCAACCTACAGAAGACTAGAATGTTAGAGAAAATAAATCGTCACCAAGCTTAACATTCAGGCAGGCATTTTAGAAATGCACCTGGCCAAGGAAAAGCCACGACCTGCTCATACTTAGTGCCTCTTGCAGAAGAATCCGTGGTTGCTCCTTCACTCTTTGCTTCTCCGCTTTCAGTTCCCTTCGGAAAGTAAAGAAAGAAGTGAACCACGGTTTAAATCGAAAGACACTCACTCTATTGCTCTCTCCTCCTTTCGATCCTCTTCCAGTTCCCTTGAAAAACAAAGAGAAGCTATTAGCAAACAAGAGCCCACTCCTTCAATCTTAACTTCTCTTCTAGTTCCCTGAGAAGCTATCAATCAGCAAATCACACGAACTAAAAGTAAGAAACTTACTCCTTTGCGCTTTCCCTCCTCCCCTCTTCCAATTTCCTAGAAAACAAACAGGAGCTATTAGCAGAGAAGAGGGAGGATTTGAAAGGTCTAGAGGGAGACAAAAAAACTACACACACGAAATGCAAGAACTCACTCTTTTTCTCTTTTATCCTCGTCCAATTCCCTGAAGAAACAAAGAGAAGCTATTAGCCACTCTCACACAAACAGTGAGCAAGAAACTCACCTCACCGATGGAGCACCATCCTCTTCCAGATCGTCCAACTGCACCACATTCTTGTAGGAAAGGACTGGAAGAACTCCTTTGTCCGTCCGCTCCACAACATTCCCAGCTTTCTTCGATCGCGTCCTCGATCCAACGCTGGAACCGGCAGGAGGCGCACGGTTCTTGCGAGCGCTCGCCGGTGAAGGATTCCAATCACCGTCAGCCTTCTTCTTCCTCTTGCGCTCGCCTCCACTAACTGCTGCACAGCTAGAACGATGGCGCTCGCCTCAGAGAGACAAGCGAAGCGAAATACCCGATAAGAAAGAAAGAAGAACACATACAAGTCTCGCGGATCATCCGCATTAGCCGCGGCCGAGGTTCCTCCGCCTCCTCCTTGAATTCGTAGACGGAGAGATCCGCCATCGCTAGAACCCTAGAGGAGCTCTCTCCCGCGTTCTCAAAATGGGGTTTAGGGCTCTTTATTTTATCTTCACTATGCCCGTGTTTCTCTTTTCTCCCTCGCCATGGAAGGATCGATCGATTGCCCGGTGCTGCGAGTGGCGCAGGATGGATCGGGTCAGTACTGCACAGTCCAGGATGCGATCGATGCGGTGCCGCTGTGCAACAGGCAGCGCATTGTCATCCAAGTCGCGCCTGGATTCTATCGCCAGCCGATCTATGTGCCGAAATCCAAGAATCTCATCACTCTGCTCGGTAGCTGCGCTGAATCCACGATTCTCAGCTGGGGGAATTGTGCTACTTCCATCGATCACCACAAGGCAAGGCTGCATATAGAATTATGTTATGGAAGATCGTGGCCTCATTGTTTAGTCCCTTTGCAGGCATCTCGAGTGATTGGGACTGGAACCTTTGGCTGTGGCACTGTGATCGTGGAGGGCGAGGATTTCATAGCACAAGGCATCACGTTTGAGAATTCTTCACCCAAGGTATCTTTCGCCAGAGAACTTTTTCCTTTTTTTCTACAGTAGTCTTTCTACAGGGCTCTGGCCAAGCAGTGGCAATCCGTGTCACCGCCGACAGATGTGCGTTTTACAGTTGCCGCTTTCTTGGATGGCAGGTAAAAAAAGATTAGAACTCCGACTCTATTCCTTCATCTGTGATTTGTTCCTTTTTTTTTTCTTTCATCGTGTTTTTTTCTTTGTTTTGAAGATCTGTGCTGTTTGTAAAGGAAATGCTTGTTCTCGTCGTTTTTTTTTTGCGCTAATCAAACTATCCACAGGACACGGCCTATCTTCACTATGGACGGCAGTACTTCCGGGACTGCTACATTGAAGGGAGCTGCGACTTTATCTTTGGAAACGCGACCGCGCTGCTAGAGCACTGCCACATCCACTGCAAATCCAGCGGCTACATCACCGCACAGCAGCGAAAGAGCGCGACCGAGACCACCGGCTACGTCTTCCTGAGGTGATCGATAACTTTTTCTTCCGTTCCAGAATCGCGAGCTTTGTTTGTCCAGGTGTGTGATCACCGGAGCCGGGAGCAAATCGCCATACATGTACCTGGGCCGCCCCTGGGCTCCATACGCGAGAGTCGTGTTCGCTTACACCTGGATGGACGCTTGCATCATGCCAGTCGGCTGGAACAACTGGAACAATCCGGACAACGAGAAGACTGCCGCCTTCTACGAATACAGGCAAGCCGATGCTTTCGATCTCAGAACTTGTCTTCTGACGATCAAAAACTACTCCAAAATGTTTGAATCTCAGGTGTTCCGGCCCCGGGAGTACGCTGCTCAACCGCGTGGTATGGGCCGGGCATGTCAAAGATGGAGACGTGGAGCAGCTACTCACTCCAAAGTTTATCGATGCCCAGGAGAACTGGCTCCGCTGGGACAAAGCCAAGGGCCCGTTCATTCCAATACCTCTATCAGCCAAGATTGGTTAGAAAAAGAAAACATCAACCTTGTTGTTGTAATTATATACAAAAGTTCTACTATAATACCTTTGAATTGTGGTGACCTTTTTTGGTAATTTTTTCTTATCTCTATAAATAAGCCTTGCGGAGAACCCTAAATAGAAGTAGAATGGCTGCTAATCATCATGTTTTGGGCGCTGGCACCACATCCCCGTTGCTAAGCAATCCCGCCCTACCTAAGGCTGTGAATGTTTCTCAGCATCCAGTGAAGCAGAGGGTTTCTTTGTCACCAAAAAGCCTCGAGACGATGCCACAGGCTTGCCCACGAAAACTTCCAGACACGAGTTGGCAGGTTTTCTTTTACCAGGATTGGATTAATGTTCATGGTGTCAAACACAAGGAACATAAGTAAATGTTTTTACTGTCCTTTTTTATGGTTCTTCGGAATGATCCCTAGATTTATTAAAGTACTTTGGATCCAAGAAGAATAATATATCTAGGAGCTTGAAGCAGTTTCTTATGCTATAAAAAGCATGCCTCTAGCAAGACCACTAGATAAGGGATTCAAAAATCCTTCATCAAGATACTCTATATGTTAAAATTAAATTGATTAGTTAAGTATCCGAGCTTACGAACTACTCAAAACTGATTGCGATGCCGACTGAGACCTCTGCTTCACCCCTGTACCAATCTAATCATTTCACCTTCAATCAAAAACCAGAATCGTACCTCTTGCTAATCGGCCATAAGTCGTTGAAATGGAAGACATACAATATACAATATCTTCGTCAATGGCAGCTTCCCGCTTAGCACGGTTGTGTTCAATGTCCGCTGATGTGAGGGTAAGTGCTCGATCTCCAAGAAATGTGCGGATCAAAGAATTGAAGAACAATAAACCACCTTCGTTGATCAATTCGTCTGGACTTGTGGGAAGGCTCATTTCCTGAAGAACATATATCCTTAAACAACTATGAAGTAAGAAAATGATTGAAAGAAAAGCTACCTTTGCACAAAAGTCTAAACTGCCCAGCACATATTCATCGTCGGGAAATTGTTCGGAAAGAATCTCTGTGAAGTCTTTCAACTTGGACTTCAAATCGTCCAGAGATGCTTTGTCTTTGTCTAAAATAGATTTGTCAGAAATAAATCTTCAGATTTCATTGCCTAACCTTGAATCCCCGTTTGATGAACAATATCCACTACTGTTCCATCTTTCACAGTGACAATACCTCTGGGTCGTAATACACCATAACGCCAGCCTAAGAAACATACAAAACTTATTTTGCCTAACCAGAAAGCTCCTCCATTACCTGCTTTACACCAATGGTGTATGTAAATAGGTTCATATCTCCCCTTTTTCATATTCAGTTTGGCTGCTCGGATAGCATAACCGGCGCCTTGATCAAGTTTTGTCATAGCATCTTTCCAGTCACACTCGATAACGATTACAGTAACCAAATTGTTTGCTGGATGGAGTTGCATATCATGAACTTTCCCCTGCAAAAAAGAAAAGAAACCACCACATACTTAAAAGCTGTCATATCGTTCTTGCCTTAAGATCGTATCTGTCGAGGTCAACAAGCGCATCTGGATCAACCAAACGACCAATGCCTTCATCCCCTTCGTCGTCGCTTTCTTGATCAACATATTGCACTACAGAAGATCTGTCAAGACCAAAAACAAAAACTAAAAATTTAAAAAACTTACAATCTTTCAATTGAAGTTGCTCCCTTCCTCCAGCAACAACCTGGGAATCTGCCAGCCTTTCATTCCCTCCTTCTGAAGAAGGCCTCGTCAACAACTTCATGTTCTGAAGAATACTAGCGTGCACAATTCTTGCTCCAAGTTCCGTCCTAGCTTTGAACTGTCTGCAAGTCGTTGCAACGGGCTTTAGAAGAATCTGAACCGCTGCCGTTAGTGCTGCCTCGTCCATGAGCTTTCCATCAGAAACATTGTCTGGTGGCATATAACGCGGCTCCGGAGCTGATTTGATGTCCACAAACGGATTGTTTACTTCCAATAAACGCCTATCGTAGCTGCTTTTCTGCAAAATGACGAACTCCCTCCCATAAACATTTTAGCATGGAAAACGGAACACTCACCTCTGCCAGAAAACGGTTGTCGACATACTTGGCCCGTTTTTTTGGTAGATCGTCCCAGACATTCTGATCTCCCGCCTTTCGCTTGCACACATTCGAAAGCTCTGCTTCCGTTTGACGCAGACGCTCGTCATATTCGTTCCGCTTGTCCCTTAGTTTTTCCACCTTGCGAGATAACTTTTCGGCCTTTCTCTGCACTACTTCTTCCTTTGATTTATCTCCTGCAACTTTCCTCATAGTTAACCCTAAAGAATAGGACTACTAAATTTATATTTAGGTATATCCTGAGCATCTTTAAAAAACCTGAAACCACATGATTGTGAAACCCATCTCCAGAGGAGCATGGACCTTCATGGAGTTTGCTCCAACGTGGTTATCTCTGGGTTGATCACCCATGCCTGCGTCTACTTAAGAGCAATGGAAATCGACCAATGGCAGTTCTCGGCATTTTGCTGCAGAGATTTGGTGAAGGGAAGATTGATCCATGGCAAATGAGTATCTGCGGGAATGTGGTGCTTGCAAATCTGCTGTTTAAGATGTGTGGAAAATGTGGCAGCGTGGAAGATGCGCACCTTGTGTTCAGAGCATCAAGCGCCATGATGCTTTCTCTTGCAATTTCATGCTGCGGGACTTTGCCTAGAACGGGCATCTGCAGCAGGCTCTGGATCTGTTTCATAGCAGTGCAGGGAAGAATGTCACCTCGTGAAATGCTATGGTTCCTCCATTTTTCCACAAGGAGTATCTCGCAGAAGCTGAGAAGAACTTTGGAAGAATGCCCGCCAGGAATGTGGTGTCTTGGAATACCATGTTAGCAGCGTATTCCCTAGCCGGGCATATGCTGGAATCGAAGAGCCTGGTCGATGTGGTGAACGAGAGGGATGCCGTTTCGTGGAATTCTTTTTTGGGTGCAGTCACCGAAGATCCTGATGCCCAGATTCTGGCAAATCAGGTGTTTGGGAGGAGGGATTGCATTTCGTGGAATGCAGTGCTGAAATCTTGCTATGTTCAGGAGGATTGCGCTACAAAGAAGAAGCGTGGATCATCTTTGAGCAAATGCGGCAGCGGAATTTGGTGTCTTGGACGAGCTTTGCTCGATGCTACGTGCAGACCGGACAGCTCAAGAAGTCACAATGCGTGTTCACAGCAAAGGGATTGCCTCTCATCGAACACCGTCTTCCCACTCTGGTGCTTTGGGAAGACCAGGAGCATGTTTGAGACCTTGCTTACAGAAAGACTGCATCACCTACACCACCATGCTCCAGGCATACACCCACAGCAGCAATCTGCCTCTTCATGATTTGAAATCTGGAAACAAATTGTGTTAATGATGCCTATGTGGCAGTAGTCTTAGGTATATGTACTCATTTATATATAGTTATATATAGGTTTTTCCACTTTCATAAAGCTCTCTTGATCCTAGGCATGGCATTTGCTGCATAAGAGGCTAGTGACAAAGAGGAGGATGAGCTTCGTAATTGCAATCCTTCTTGCAATGTTTAAGAATAATAGTAGTGAGAGATTTTAACAATCCAGGTGAAGAATTAAGTTTTGCATAACAACTCTTTACATGAATTTTTAACAATTGGGAAGAATGCTTATTAGCCAAAGATTGGGGAGTGTGGTGGTTCCAAGGCCAAAACCACATGCTAGAGGCAAGATTGAAACTATAATAATGTGTCTAAGCAAAGTTAAGGCCAAAAACAATGTTTTGGATAGTTTAGTTTAGTTTAGTTTACTTTTTTCATTAGCTCCACATGTTCTATTATTTCATCCTTGCTATGCACAATTTAAGCTTAGATCCAAGTGTGGATTAAGTGCTTAATTGTGAGTGGGGTTAGATAGTAGAGATGATGGTGGCAATAGTTATGTATTCATTCATGTATAATTATATAGTTCTTTCTTCCTTATGTGCATGAGTGTCTTTCTGCTTTCACATTGCTCTTAGCATACATATAGAAACAGATTAAATATGGCAGAATTGAATTGGGTCTTCAATGGATTAGGGGAGCACAACATTTTGTCCTCAAATTTCCTATTCAAAGCAATGAGTGAGAGGAAGTATTTCATTGAAGACAAGAGCATGCTTGATATGATGCCATACTAGGATATGGCATCTTGGACCATCATGATCACCATATTCCCTCTTAGTAGGTATCTGCAGGAGGTATAGATCTTGTTCCAAGAGATTCTTGAGAAGAATCTACTACCTTGGACAAGCATCATTGTCACTTGTGAGTGAGTTAGGCCCTTGTAACAAGTTAAATTTTTGTTTAAATGAATGTCACAGTGTTGTGGGTTTAAATCATGCTTCATTAACCTAGTTTCCCATAGTTTACATAAACATATGAGTCATAGAATCATCCCACATACAAAACATTAACTTATCAACTTTATCCCAATAACCTTCAGTTTTGGCAATTCTCTTACATCGAAAAGCCATGCATTTGAGGATTCAATGATATTGGATGTTAGATATTCAAATCTTTCACCCTCAACGTTTGAGATAATATATTCTTTATATTTATTAAAATAATACTTTATAAACTAGCATGAATTATTATTTTGCTTAAAAGTATCTTGTTTTTGCCACCCATCTTACTTTCCATAACCTTTCTAATGTAGTCAGTTGTATCATATTTTATATATTTTTATTTATGAAATTTCAAAGTCACTAAGTTCAAATAACCTTCCAAATTATAATATTTTATGTTTTTATATCATTGATAAATTAATTATAAATTATAGTCATTATAGTTTTATTAAATGAAATTCAGGAAATGCAAAGTGGTTAAAATATTCCTCAAATTAATATTAAGTTACATAAAATATTTAAAAATAATAAATAAAATTATATCCATAACAAATTATTGGCTAAAATTTTAATTAAAATTTAATGTAATTTTTTTAATGTTCTTTAATGTTTTCAGAACTTCTGTGTGGGTTTAAGGATTAAAATAAAAAATATCACTAATATTTTTGCCTTATTGTACTTTTACTTGAAAGGAATTTTAAAGTTC